ATAAATCTTGATTTGAAAGAATTTATTCTTACCAGAAAGGTAAAGAAGTTTGTAATTTTGATTTTCTGAGTAAATCCCTGTACAGAGTTATTAACTAACTTGAGCGCTGTCCTGGCCAGGTCGTGTGGCATCAGGTTTTTGTAGGTGGTGCTGGACTGGAGGAAAGGTGTACGGACTCCATCTATAAGGACTATGTTTCTCCCTCCAGCTTTAGGTCTCCCTAAAAAATACACCATAAAATATTTAAACCAGCTTCTTTTACATGTATTTAAAAACATAAATATCTCTTGAACAAAAAAAAACCCTCATAGGAGTCTCTTCAATACACATTTCATACTATTAATAATCTAAACATGCTCTTTAAGACAATTCATGTGGACAGAAAGCGTAAGTATCCTCAGTATTTTTCATTCAAATACAGAATTAAAATGGGTCTTTTTTTTCAAATTCATAATTTATAGAAGCAGCTGTTTTAACTTGTAGAAAACCCCAAAGTTTCCAATGTGTTTTCTCCTTCTGTCCCAATCAACTTCCCTAAAGAGCACAATTAATATTAGTCTGAAATGTGTATGTAAAGGCTACAAAGGGGAAAATTCAAGCATTATGTCTTAGAAGAATCATTACTTGATAGATCATACAGAAAAATATAATGAAAACAGAGGCTGAAGCAAAACAAGAGGCCCATTGGCCACATCGCTCACCTGAGAAACTTTGGCCATGCTGTTCTTTAACAGATTTCCTCCCACCAGGGGTCATGATTTGGACAATTTATAATCTACACTACCCCAAGATGCTTTCATATAAGTTTCAGCTTTTCTGGCCCAATGGTTCTTGAGAAGAAGATTTTCAAAGATTTTTCCTATATATTTCTATGTAAAAATTGGATTCCCTATTGTGGCCCCACCCTACCCCCAGGGGTCATGATTTGAACAATTTAGAATCTACACTACCCAAGGATGCTTCCACATAAGTTTCAGGTTTTCTGGCCCAGTGGTTCTTGAGAAGAAGATTTTTAAAGTTTTTTCCTATATATTTCTATGTAAAACTTGGATTCCCTATTGTGGCCCCGCCCTACCCCAGGGGGTCATGATTTGAACAATTTAGAATCTACACTACCCCAGGATACTTCAAAATAAGTTTCAGCTTTTCTGGCCCAGTGGTTCTTGAGAAGAAGATTTTTAAAGTTTTTTCCTATATATTTCTATGTAAAACTTGGATTCCCTATTGTGGCCCCCGCCCTACCCTCGGGGGTCATAATTTGAACAATTTAGAATCTACACTACCCAAGGATGCTTCCACACAAGTTTCAGCTTTTCTGGACCAGTGGTTCTTGAGAAGAAGATTTTTAAAGTTTTTTCCTATATATTTCTATGTAAAACTTGGATTCCCTATTGTGGCCCCACCCTACCCCCGGGGGTCATGACTTGAACAATTTAGAATCTGCACTACCCCAGGATGCTTTCATATAAGTTTCAGCTTTTCTGGCCCAGTGGTTCTTGAGAAGAAGATTTTTTAATGACCCCACCCTATTTTAAATTTTCTTGATTATCTCCCCTTGGAAGGGGTCTTGGCCCTTGATTTTAACAATTTAAATTTCCCTTTACCCAAGGATGCTTTGTACCAAGTTTGGTTAAAATTGGCCTAGTGGTTCTTGAGAAGAAGTTGAAAATGTGAAAAGTTTACAGACGGAGGGACGGACAGACGGACGGACGGACGGACGATGGACAACGGGTGATCAGAAAAGCTCACTTGAGCTTTCAGCTCAGGTGAGCTAAAAAGGGGTCTAAAATGGTGCCCTCCTTTGTGTTGTTTTATAGTGCAGTAGGAAAGGAGAAATGCATAAAGAAAATTTATGGTTGGACCGAGAATCAACCCAGGACCTCTACATTACAAGTCAGATGTTCTACCACTGAGCTACCCAGGCTGATAATCACTGTCTGTATACCCCAAACTGCTACAATAGTATATTTATTAGGTATATGATTTAAAAAAAAATATTACACATCAGGAGCAATCCCCTGCAGTCAGGGTTTTATGAAAGATCTCGGAATTAGTATGGTAAACTAAAGTTTACCTGGAATAATTATAATTCAGGATAACATAAAAGATCTTATATCAAAGGACACACACACACAGAATTAGTAAGCAATTAAATTAACAATAAAAAAGGCATTCCAATTACTTACGTGGAGACTGTAGAGAGGTAGTGGTGCTGACACATCTAACTGCATCTAGAGAAAAAACAATGTCTGATCAATCTTCCATGACTATGAACAAATAACAAGGTGATTTCTTTTGTCTATATTTCCCACTTTCTTTCTTTTTTCTATTTTTATTTGGGGGGGGGATTGATTTTGTCTTCTCTCACTTTCATGTCAATCTAATGACTTCTCAAAAGACTCAGCACAAAGTGCATGTAAATTCTTTGATAGCGAGAGCAGCAAGTCGGCGTGAAGTGCTGCTCGCATAGTGAGCTCCACAGACAACATGTACGAATGGAGGAAATTAAAGACTGGAATCTGACCATTGGCTGAAAGAAACCTGTTTCAGTCCACAAAATTACAAACAACAATTTAATGCAAAATCCATGCCAATATTGCCCACAAAACTATCATTTGCGTCCTCCTCAGTAGTCATGATTTTGTATGTGACATCAAATTTTCATCACTTCTACAATCAGGTATTTTTGATTTGTCTAAAAATCTGAGAAGTTGAATCTTGATCCAGATGCATGCAGAGAATGCAATTTTAAAGAATATATATTTCCAAAACATTTTTATGCCCTGCCATGAATATGGCCGGGGCATATAATGTTTGTCATGTCCGTCTTCCATCCTTCTGTCCTTCCGTCTGTCCTTCCATCACACTTTGCGATTAGCTCTGTTCAAAGCTCTGTTTCAAAGAAACTATCCAAGATATTTTCATCAAACTTCACATGCTGATAGATATTGATGAGAGCTTTGCAATTGCATCATTCATAGTGATGCAGTTAAATAGCTCTCATCAGTATGTACCATCTTGTGAAGTTTGATAAAACCATCTTGAATGGTATGTTTAAAACTGAGCTAAACAATAATTTAAGAAAAGTGAGGTAAAGGTCAGAGGAAATGTCAAGGTCAAAAACTGTTGATGCAGTTGTGCCTCGGTTGACAATGGTTTTCGAGGGGTGAAAATTTTCAATGTTATACTCAACTACATGCAATATTTATTAAATTATACTGAATGTTTTATACAAATACATATAACAGTGAACCATGCATGCATAAATTCTGTGCAGTCACTATTTTTTGGAATATCATCCGTCGTCAAGCACTGTTGACTGTTGCTACGCTGCAGGGCCTGGCTTCATTATTCAGCGGGTAATGGTGTTTTTTAACAAATGTTTCTTGACCAATCAGATTCAAGTAATTTACATGAAAGTATAATATTTCTATTTAATAAATTAACTTAAATGTACTATAACGGTAAAGACATGATTAAGGAGTTTACCAGAAAGTATAATAATCAGAATATAAAACATTTGGGATGTGTAGATATGTGTAGATATGACAGGGGTAGACTTTATTTTACTGTTCCCCAGATCCGCAAGATCCTCCGCTCATTGGACTATGACGTAACATTTACATCACTAAACTGATAAGGATTAGTCTTGCACACTATTTCAACTGATTAGGGTTAGTCTTCCACCCAACTGAGAGATTAGGGTTAGTCCATGCACAAGTATTCGACTGATTAATTAAGGTTAGTCTCCCATCCACCCGAGAGATTTGGGTTAGTCCTCCCACACTATTTTAATGATTAGGGTTGGTGTAGCATCTAACCAGGAGATTTTGACTAAACGTCTTAGTCCTTGCATACCAACCAAGAGATTAGGGTTGGTGACTCATTCTTTTAGATAAATCAAGAAATTCAGTTGCTTCTGTAATTTTTGCAAGGTCTTAATTCAGCTTCAATGCCATTTCGTTGGTTTGTTTATATAGAAAAGTGGCTAAGCCTGCAAGAAATGACACTAAGCATGCGCCACACGCGCCTCATTGACAATTATTTTTTGTCAATTTTTTCAATGAATAAACAACATTTATTAATATCTTCAAAGAACGAGGTTAAAAACTTTGTTTAAAAACTAAGTTTTAAACCAAACTTTTAACCGTAGAATTCCATTTTGGGGTCAAAAAGACCAAAAACTTTGTATTTTTTAATTTTTTCGATCGCTCACACAATCTAATATATACTGAAGTTGCCCTCGGCGACAATACATTTTAGCGCATTTTTCTGGGGACCGGTAAAGTTAAGTCGTTCCTATGATAGAGTTGTACAAAAATGCAAAAATGAACTGTGCTTGCCTTAACGGTTTCACTGTCAGGCATATTAAGTTTACAAAAATTAAACCTTTGATATCATAAAGCTAGTTTGTTCCAATATTGAATAAATTTTGCTCCCAATTAAAAACAGTTTCGAGTTTGCACAGTTTTCCTACTTTGGCGGTAGGCGGTAAGAATTAAAAAAAAATGAAAACTTTTAATTATTGTAGCAGAAAACACAGACTTCTGTCTAGAATTATAAACTCTGGTTATTGGAGTATTTGGTAATCTATTAGAATTTGTAGAACATTGGCCACTCTTCATTCTTCAAAGTCAAACCCAATGCCATGGTTGTGGTTATCAAACAAAACTCACCCAACTTATTTACGTGTATTTACAACAGAAGTTTTACCTCTGAAAATGCATCTCGTGGCATTTGCATACTTCACAGCTGTTAAAACGGGACTTGCCATAATTCTTCAAGCCTCAGTCCTCACTCAATTTGTTGATGTCGTCCGTTTGCTGCTCTTTGGACTCTAATCTAAGTTAAAGAAACGCTTGAAAACCGGTAGTAAAGTTTCATTGATATCAAACATTACAAAGATGGCAATTTTTTCACACAACCAGAGTGATTTGTGCGTTTAAAAGTAATAGAGCCGTATTGGTACTCTTCCAAGTTTTGGTTGTATGGGATTTGAGTCCAAAGAGCAACCGGCAAGTCCGTGAAAGAAATGGCAACGTCTGTGTTGAAGGCAGTAAAGTTTGCACGACTACGGAGTCCGTGCTTCCTAGGTAAGTTTGTGGTTATTGATTTCAGGTAATTGGGTGCAATATTTGCAGTACTGAGGTAGTGACATTTTTGTATGACCAAAAGTTGTTTTGACAAGGGTAAATGACACCCAAGGTTACTTGCAGAAAATTCATTTGAAGAAAGATTTTCAATTTCATTCAGAAAAGTTCATTAGAGATGTTTGAAACCCCAAAAGGAATTAAAAATAACTTAAAAAATGTGTCTTTAGGTCAAGGGAGGCAGAGTTTGGTTCTTGAAAGTCATCTAAGCCTCACAATCTATATTCTAAGAAGCTTGATTTAGCTAGTTAGATCTACATGCTATGATTTTTCACAAATTTGTTACAGGTATGACCTTTGGGTGAAGCACACTTTCCTATAACTGTATTGTTCTCTCTTTTTTAACTTCGATCTGCAAGCCTCATAAACCACATCAATGACATCATCATTCATGAGACATCAATTTGGACTTGCTCGCTCAGTCGCTGCATGGGCATGCTATCATGATTATAATTCTTTTTCGCATTAAAAACTGACATACTTTTTAAAAAGCTTGCATAATAAACAATCTAAATTAAAGATAATTTTCTACTTTGGGACGCTTTTAACAAAAGAGATGTGAATTTTTGGTCCTACCAAACAGAGAACACTGAGAAACCAGAAAGAATCCTAGAGAACCCTAGGTATATTTAGTATCAAAGACTAAGTTAGGTATTTTTATGCTATCAACATTTCATATTTAAGAAATTTTTTTCTAGCTCAAAGACATTGGCTGAGTACCTCTTCAATTTTACAAAGTAAGATATTTATAGTTTAAGTTGAGTTTGTAACAAATAGTCTTCATATATTAACAATTAAAACCTGGTCATTTACAATGTTTACTGTGTTTATTGAATTAGCATGAGCTTAAACATACTACCTTCAAATCATTTGTTTTTATCCAGAGCATCTCAAATATGAAATCAAAGATGATGTTGCTGTGATCACATTTGATACACCAGGATCAAAGGTAATATTGTACATTAATTGTCAATTAGACATTTGGAATAATAAAGATCTATGATTGATACTTCTTAGTTGATAAACTTGTTGAAGATTGTTTCAAACATTTGTTTCAAAGGTGAATGCACTATCAAGAGATGTACAATCGGAATTTGAAGAATGCTTCAACAAAGCTTCAAGAGATCCCAATGTCCACAGTATGGTGCTCCGGTCAGGGAAGCCTGGCTGTTTTATTGCTGGAGCCGACATAGCGTAAGTGTCATCTGGTATTACTGAGAGAAATCTGATATCTTAGTGATAGTGAAGTATCTTATTTCTCTGTGACAGAAGTTATAAACTGTTGCCTTACGGTAATTTTTGTTTACTTTACGGATGCTGGAGACAGAAAAAGTAAATTGTTTTATTATTTATTGTAAATTATTATTGAAGGATGCTAGAGGCCTGTAAAACTGCAGAGGAAGTAGAAACTCTTGCAAAGAATGGCCAGGCTCTGTTCCAGAAAATGGAGGACAGTAAAAAACCAATAGTAGCTGCCATAATGGGGCAGTGCTTAGGAGGGGGACTGGAGGTGAGTCAGTGTTAATTGTGAGGACTAGTATTTTACAGTAGAAATGGTACATCTTTACCCTCTCCTGTCTGCTTTTTGGGTTTGTTGCTTGTTGCTACATTTTGTACTTTTTCAGGTGGCCTTGGCATGTCAGTACAGAATTGCTGTGAAAAACAAGAAGACAGCACTAGCTACACCAGAAGTAATGTTAGGGCTTTTACCAGGAGCAGGGGGGACTCAGCGACTCCCAAAACTGGTCAGTATTGGTCATCAGAGGAGAGTTTCTTTATATTTTTTAGTCTGATTAGTATTTTACCTGAATCTTTCAGAAAAGCTTTAGAGCAGAACTTGCCAAAAACATATTGGACCAACACAGAAAAAGTTTTTCATTAAGAGAGAAAAAAAGCTTTATTTTTTAAAATATATATGTGCTGGTACATTGCTCTTAATTTAACTTCTAATGCAGGTTCCAATGCAAACTGCTCTAGACATGGTGTTGACTGGGAAAAACATAAAAGCAGACAAAGCCAAGAAACTAGGGCTTGTAGATCACTTGGTGGACCCATTAGGTGAGTAGTTTGTAACTGTAGATTTCTCAAGATTGACCTTGTTAATGTACATGTCAGATTAAGATCTTTCTCTGTGTTTGTAGGGCCAGGAATTGATGACCCAGAAGTCAGGACTCTGGCCTATCTGGAGGAGGTCGCCATTGGAGAGGCCAAGTACGTAAAACTTTACATTTCCTGGTTTTAACAATTTAAAAAAAAAATTTAAAATGTCAAGGATTTTGGTTATGATTGGGACTATGTTTTCTCTGGATACAATAAATATCGTATAACTTAATCAATCTTTTTGTATGTAATTTCAGGAGGCTGGCAGTGTCAAAAACTCCAAGAGTTCCCAGAAAGAAAAAGTTCATGGAAAGTAAGAAGATTGGTTTTACGTTTAGAATAGTAATGGGGGAAAAGATTGAGAAAGAGTTTCCTAAGAATTTGGGTTGGGGATGAAGTCAGTAAACAGGATAGACAGTATCTAGAACTGATTATCAAGTGTTTAAGTAATTTACTTGCTGGATTGCAAAAGTAAATGTACATGTACATTGTATATGATTATATGCACTAAAATTAACATTATGAATTAATATTTTGATGGTTTAATATGATGTTATTGTTGTAGAGGCCATAGATTTGGTGTTAGCTGTACCTGCAGGGAGGAATTATTTTTTCGACAAAGCTAAGCAGGCAGTCAATAAGAAAACAAAGGGACTGTACCCCGCCCCTCTCAAAATCATCGATGTTGTGAAAAATGGCCTAGAAAATCCAGCTACGGGATATGAAATGGAGGCCAAGGTAAAAACTTATCTGCTTAAGTAATTTGATACCATGTGTCAAACGAATTAGGTTCTGTTAAGTAAATTAGAATACAAGGTGTACATTCAATTTCATTTGTTACTTCATTGTTATTGAAGATTCAGATCAGATGCAGACCATTCTGGTACATTTTTTTATTCCAGTTTTATTGTAATTAACAACATTGTAGTCTGGTTTTGTACAGTTGTTAGAGCAGTGAGATTTGTTAAGATTACACTGTATTCACTGTAGACATTTGGGGAGCTGGCAATGACTAGTGAATCCAAAGCTCTGATTGGTTTATATTATGGAACAACAGCCTGTAAAAAGAATAAGTTTGGTGCACCGAGCCGTCCATCAAAGTAAGACAAAAATTTTTTTTTTCCCACTTATTACTAGTGTGTTGGGTTTAATACAATTTACATGAGAAATATTTTTTGATGGCTTTAAATGATTAGGAAAAAAAACACAAAATAATTCTCTATGTTTAGGGGAATTATGGATTAATATACATGTACATTGGATGCAATTTAACATGTGCCCTATTGTATATAATTTATACGTATAACCCCCAAATCTAGACAATTATTTTTATTGTCATCTTATGAGATTTAAAAGTTTTAATCTTGTGATGATTTATGAAAATTTTGAATGTCTTGATTTTAAGATCCATTGGAGTCCTTGGAGCGGGTCTGATGGGAGCTGGTATTGCTCACGTCTCAATAGATAAGAATATACATGTTTATCTGAAGGACATGTCTCTCTCTGGACTGGCGAGAGGTGAAGAACAAATCTTCAAAGGTCTGCAGACTGACGTCAAGAAAAAGAAGATGACCACGTGAGTTGTAGTTCTCATTCAGTCTCTTGGAAATTTAGTTTTCCAGCAACAATGCGGAATTGGACTTTTGCTGAACACAGTACCATACTTACAGTGCCTTATAGAAAAAAAAAAAAACAAACTGAAATTTGTCGAAGAACATGTTGATTTTTGAGAGCATTTAGAGAGTGGTGTTTTAATTTTTCAGTTTTGAGAGAGACTTGTATTATTCTAATCTGGATGCCACATTAACTTATGATGACTTCCATAAATGTGATATGGTCATTGAGGCAGTGTTTGAAGATCTGAATATCAAGCATCATGTCATCAAGGAGGTAGAACAGGTGAGTATAGGACCTTAATAATAACCAGGGAGTCAGAATCTGAATATCAAATGTGTTGTCATCAAGGAGGTGGAACAGCTGAGAATAAAACCTAAGTAAATACATAAGAACCCGAATCTATCAGCTTCAATCTTCTCTTTTTCAGTATATTCCAGAGCACTGTGTTTTTGCCTCCAACACATCAGCATTACCTATAGCTCAGATTGCCAAAGCCAGTCTACGACCAGAAAAGGTTATAAACCATTATATACCAAATTAATCCACATGTTGATTTTGTAAAGGTTTCATTTAAAATGACATCCCAGTGAAATGTATATCTCTTCCTTTGATAACTAGGTCATTGGAATGCACTACTTTTCACCTGTAGAGAAAATGCAACTCTTGGAAATCATTACCACACCTGAAACCTCAAAAGACACTATTGGTAAGTTGATGCGAGAAATTCATTTGTAAAATCTGTAGACTGAAAAGAGGTTATAGTACATTGTATAGGTCTCTATATTTATCAAATAAATGAATTTAGAGATTGAAATTCATGGTGATATTTTCAAAAAGAATAACAAAAAAACAGTTATGTAGTAATTTAGAACAATGAAATTTTTTACAAGTCATTTTCTTACTTCTTACTTTGATGTAGAAAGATATTTTTAAATTAAGAAGTTTTATATGCCTATTTGATTGTCAATTACATGTACATTTCATATAAATAAACATACATATACATATTAAGTAGAATTATTTTACAATTATTCAACAGATCTCATTTAATTAATTGTACGTGACCATCTAAACATTAAATTCCTTCTATTTTTAGCCACTGCTGTTGATGTGGGGCTCCGTCAGGGAAAACTGGTCATCATTGTTGGTGACGGTCCAGGCTTCTACACTACCAGAATCCTGGCTCCCATGTTGGCGGAGGCTGTTAGACTCTTACAGGTGGGTAGGGTGGGATGTCTGGTTGCGCAGAAATTTGTAATATTGATATTGAAATGAACGAAGAACTTTATGAGTGCATACTTTCTGTTTACAAATATTAGGCATTAAGAAATAGTTTTCCTTTATTTATAAGAAAGGTTACCCGGTATAAGGAATCAGTTAAACGATTGAATATAAGTTCAAGTTAGCAAAGTTAGGACTAACACTTCCAATGAAAAGACCAAGAGTGTACTCTAAAATTCATCACTTGTACATGTATATAAATATTTGTGTAGGAGGGTGTTAGCCCGCAGGAGCTGGACAAGGTGACTACAGGCTTTGGCTGGCCGGTAGGAATGGCCACACTGGCCGATGAAGTGGGCATTGATGTGGCAGCTCATGTGGCCGAGGATCTTGGGAAGGCCTTTGGCAGTCGCTTTGGAGGAGGTGACCCTGCCGTCCTGAAAGAAATGGTAGCAGCTGGGTGTTTAGGTTTGTACTGATTGTTTCATGTAGATAAAATGATGGTTACTAATACTGACAATGAAAGACAAATATTTGTACATTGAAACTGATACACAGGTGTTTCTGTTTGTTTACAGGTAGGAAATCAGGTAAAGGATGTTTTGTGTATGATCCAAGTAAAGGCAAAAAGAAGGGAAAAACAGAAAACATGGAGGCCCTAGCAATCCTTAACAGACATCGACTAGCTCCAACAGAGGCGTAAGTTGAGGGAATCATGAATCAGTTACATAGCCTCTTCCAGTCTTAATGAGGCCATTCCACAGTATCGTACTCTTGCCTCTTAAGTCTATACTTACATGTAAGTTTGTATGTTGTAATTTTACAGAAATACAACAGAGGACTACCAATACAGACTGTTCTCACGATTTGTCAATGAAGCTGTGATGTGTTTCCAGGAGGGAATTCTCACAACACCTGTAAGTTACACTACACCAATAGTAGCACGGCTGCATTTTATTTCCGGAATTTTTGGTAATTATCAACTGAAACGGAAATGAAAACAAAAAATGTCATAAATGAAATTAAAAAATGTCAGAAATGCTATGCATATTTCCAGAAATGAAATGCAGCGAGTAGCACTAACATTAATTATAATGATATTTAATATTACAAAATTAGTCTTATAATGGACTTCTAACCTTGTCTGACAAACACAAAATCACTGAAGTTTTGTTTTAGAAATTCTTTAGCTCGATGCTTGTGATGCGTATTTGTTAGCTCACCTGAGCCGAAGGCTCAAGTGAGCTTTTCTGATCACATTTTGTCCGTCGTCTGTCTGTCCATCTGTCTAGCTGTCCGTCAGTAAACTTTTCACATTTTCAACTAATCTTCTCAAGAACCAATGGGCCAATTTTAACCAAAGTTGGTACAAAGCATCTTTGGGTGAAGGGGAGTTTAAATTGTTAAAATGAAGGGCCAAGTCTCCTTACAAGGGGAGATAATCAATAAAAGACAAAAATAGGGTGGGGTCATTAAAAAATCTTCTTCTCAAGAACCACTGGGCCAGGAAAGCTGAAACTTATATGGAAGCATCCTTGGGTAGTGTAGATATTAAATTGTTAAAATCATGACCCCCAGGGTTTGGACAGGGCCACAATAGGGAATCCAAGTTTTACATAGAAATATATAGAACAAATACTTAAAAATCTTCTTCTCAAGAACCACTGGGCCAGGAAAGCTGAAACTTATATGGAAGCATCCTTTGGTAGTGTAGAGATTAAATTGCTAAAATCATGACCCCGGGGGGTAGGGTGGGGCCACAATAGGGGATCCAAGTTTTACATAGAAATACAATGTATATAGAACAAATCTTTAAAAATCTTCTTCTCAAGAACCACTTGGCCAGGAAAGCTGAAACTTATGTGGAAGCATCCTTGGGTAGTGTAGATATTAAATTGTTAAAATCATGACCCCCGGGGGTAGGGCGGGGCCACAATAGGGAATCCAAGTTTTACATAGAAATACTAGTATATAGAACAGATCTTTAAAAATCTTCTTCTCAAGAACCACTTGGCCAGGACAGCTGAAACTTATGTGGAAGCATCCTTGGATAGTGTAGATATTAAATTGCTAAAATCATGACCCCCTGGGGTAGGGCAGGTCCACTATAGTGAATCCAAGTTTTACATAGAAATATATAGAAAAATCTTTAATAATCTTCTTCTCAAGAACCACTAAGCCAGGAAAGCTGAAACTTCTGTGGAAGCGTCCTTGGGTAGTGTAGATATCAAAATTGTTAAAATCATGACCCCCGGGGGTAGGGCGGGGCCACAATAGGGGATCCAAGTTTTACATAGATATACACTGTATTTTGGAAAAATCTTTTAAGAATCTTCATCTTAAGAACCACTGGGCCAGGAAAGCTGAAACTTATGTCGTAGCATCCTGGGGTAGTGTAGATTCTAAAGTATTAAAATCATAAAAGGGAAGAGAGTAGTGGGGTACTATAGGTATAGCAAGAGGGGAAATCTGGTAAAAAAACTGCATCACCCAAGTTACTCAGGTGAGCGATGTGGCCCACGGGCCTCTTGTTTTTTAAGGGGGTATTATGTTCTCAATAAAAATGCATATCAGTATAATTTTATAGAATAGGCTTTAGCATAATCAGATCAGTCAAAGGACAAGGGCACTTAAGCAATACTTAATGGGCCCTTTTTATGTGTCATTTAACTTTAGAATATATTACCGAATCGTTTTCTTTTGGTAAAAGTTGGATACAAGTGGATGTTTCTAATTAAAAAGCATGTTAATCAATACCTAAATCAGCATGGATTTGAAACAATTAAATATTTTTAAATGCCCATGGATACCCTAAATCCGGAAAAGTCATACTGAACCTTAAATAAACCTTAAGTAAATCAAGGGGAAGAGGTATTTAAATTGACACTTGAACAATCTGATGGTGAATCATAGTCGGGGTAGTTTGTGGAATGTGTTACTTTTTGTGCCAAATCGGTTTTAAAAAATTGAATGAAGTTGTGTATTTGCATGTAGCCATAATGATCAAACTAAGAAATTTGTGTTCTTGCATTTGAAAAAAATACAATAATAGTTTCATTGAATTTGAAATTAAAAAGGAGTGTTAAGGTGGCTTTCAACACCTGTTTCATAGTCTTGCATGAATGTTAAAAATGTTTGACGCTTTTATGAATGTCACTAAACCCTCTTTACCCTCCCGTGTCCTTAAAAAGAAATACATACAAATATTTCTAAGCAGCATGACTTTGACTAAATGATATAAAAGCTGCCGATGTTTTACAGTGAGCACCTTTGAGGAATGTTTACTAGGGTAGAAGTCACGTGACTATAAGCATTTTAAATAATTTATTCCACAGGTGGGTTCAAAATGGGTCATACAGGTAAATGGCTGTCACTTGCTATAGGAAAAACATTGTACTTTTTGTACATTTTTAATATTTTAAGAACCAGCCTAATCATGTACCGGTACAAATTTCCTACATTCACACTAGTTTTATAAATGTACTATGCATCCTTTGTCATTCTCACAAGTTTATACAAAGTTAGGCTCATAGTAAACAAAAGCTTTGAAATGAATGACTGTTCTCGATTTACTATAGAAAATCACAAATGTCGGCTGATCTCTGACACATTCTATGGTTTTGTTCTTTGTATATCTGTGAATTTCAGCATAAAATTTGTTGAATCGTACGGTTTAGATATCAATAAATGATTTGGGATGACAAATTTTGCTTAATTTGATTGTTTATTTTTTTCACAATTTACCGGGCCTCGTAAGCGCACTCATTCTTTAATGGCAGAACCTTGCAGACCCCAATCAACTAAATTTGTAAAACAACCCTTTCAGTTTAATCTGAAATACATTGTACTGTAGAATTACATGTATTGAGAGACTCTTTATTCTTTAGCACTCAAAGAATTATTTTTTTATCAGGTGGAGGGTGATATTGGAGCCGTATTCGGACTTGGATTCCCACCATTTTTCGGAGGTAGGCATCATAAAATCGTAATCCTCTATTATATTTTTTCTATTATTTAAATGTTCCTTGAAAAGTACATTGTCATATTTTAACATTGCACTGAAGAGATTGTTTGTCATCATATCGTGTGCCTGTTAATTATTCCCAGGTCCCTTCCGCTATGTTGACCTCCATGGCGCTGGACAGTTAGTGGACAGGATGAAGCGGTATGAACAACTCTATGGAGAACAATTCACGCCGTGCCAGTTGTTACTTGACCATGCTAAAGACTCTTCTAAAAAATTCCACCAATCTAAGTGACCTCTAAATCTAGCATAATCAGACTTGAACAAGTGATGTCATATGACAATCATGTGACATTAATTAGGTCATCTTATGACATTGTGATATCTGTTCTCATTCAATTCTCATTTACTGTTTGATTGTTGGGAAAACTTCATATTATTTTGCATTATGACTGATCATATGGGTATTTATAAATAAAATTATTTATAAACATTAGGAGATTCTACAATTTCTTTTCTAAGCTCACCCCAGTGGAGTGCATTGAAAGGACATATGCAATACTCTCCGATGTATTTTCAAGATATATACATGTATATATGTGCGTATAATTCAAGATTATATGTACAAATGTTTTTGGGGGAGGCAAACTTACCGTATACCTGAATGAAGCACCAAGATATGCATTATACCAGGGCTGTGTTAAAGAATGTATCTGAGCTACATTGTTCTGTGTACTTAGAGCTACAATCTTGATGGATAAACTGCCTGTCTTTGTTTTAATAGATGCAAGAAATATTTTCAGTAATCTTATTCAATTGATTTGCATTAGTCTTGTATGATATATGCATCCTATAGAATATTTGATCCTCTATTATTGTGATTTTGGACGCCTGAATCTAGTCCAGTCCTTTGTACTATTGATTATAACTAATCATGAACTATCTGGCAATCAATCCCATCTGACAGCTACATTTCTCTCCTTCCCCATCTCATATGGTGCCAGGACTGGGATTCTAACCTTGGTAATAGAAGCAAGTGAAAATTAGTGTCTTTGGTGGTGGTGATGTGTAAGGTGACAGTCACAAAAGTTTGATTGCCAGTCGCCAGATACCTCAGTATTGGTGGAGCACCTGACTGGATATTCAGAGGCCTGGGTTCAAATATCAGTCTGGTCTGTTCAGTCACATTTGTCTCCTCTCCCATAATAACTTTCTTGAGAGTCCAAAGGAGATTTGTGCTTGGTGTTTAGAAATTCTTCAAGTCTTTTTTAATACTTTCACCCCCCCCCCCACTTTTTATTCTTAAAGAGATTTAAAAATTGATTTTTAAACATATTGCACACCTGACAAAAAAAAACAACACCTAAGCAAGCAATCCGGATCCACTTACTCGATATTGGTTTTGGATATTAAATATGTCACATGATATTTTGATCACATGACTCAAAGATGGCAGCATCCAACTTGAAGTGGTTTGTGTTGCTTTTTGCGTTCTCCTTTATTGGTGAGTTAAAAAGGGAAGAAAGATATTTTTTAACATGCATTGATGTAATTAAGCTATATATTTATATAAAAATACATATCTACTAGAATGTCAGTGTGTCAGATCAGAGAACTCCAAATTCCAATGTCTATATAAAATGTTGACATTTCGCTATGTCTATATAAAAAGTTGACATTTCGCTTTTTAATAACAACATGCGTACAACCCTCTCTTTCATTCAAGATAGAGCTGAAGGAATTGATGAATACACGCTTTACAGATACAGTAAAACTCGGTTATAGCGAAGTCCTGGGGACCTTAGAATTTAATTCGCTATATCCGTAGTTCGTTATATCTGTATAACGAATTCCTATAACTATATATAGCGAATTCGCAATATGCATGTTTTCCTTCAAGAATTTATACCAAATAGATTAGGGAAGCAATAATTACAAAACATACTTTGAAAAAGTAAGGTTTTATAATGAATTGAATGTTATATACAAATATTAAGTGAAAATAAAGTAGGTTCATAATATCAAATTTTGAGATATTTGAAAATTCGTTATAAAAGATGTAAATTACATTATTTTTAATCTTTACGGGACACAAAATCAGTTCGCTATATCCGTAAATTCGCTATATCCGAGTTCGTTATAACCGTAAAAATTTTACAAAAAATTGTTAAGAATTTTGCTGGGGACTCCAAAATATATATGGGGGAAATATATAGGAAAAATCTTTGAAAATCTTCTTCTCAAGAACCAAAACTTCGCTATATCCGTGACTTCGCTCTATCCGTGTTCGTACTAAACGAGTTTTACTGTAGTACAAAACAGTAGTAAGAAAATTAAGATTGACAGTTTATATGTTTTTTTAAAAGATCACAACAGCTGCATGACAACGTCTTACTTTACCTGAGAGACTACCCAATGCCCTGAATGTCATTGTGTCTTGTTTTTTTTTTCTGAATACAGAATTATATACTTATAATTATTTATACTTGTATCGGAGTGTAATGATTTCGGAATTCTAAGGTTCGACCATGCGGGGTTCCTAATTAGTCAAAGTTCACACCACATGACAATTATTGTGTATAAATGCTGAGACTCCGCAGTGATTAGTGGGTAGTTCGTTGAACGCAGCCAAGGTTAGAAGACGAGTGTGTGAATAATGTATTCACATGTTATATTCCTCGCCTGTTATACAGTTAGAGAGTGAATTTGGAAGGCCAACCCAGTTAAGGCCTGCCACAAACTACTGTAGGATGTCCTCCAACATATAGGCCAGACATAGTTTGTTGTGTCTCGTCCACATTGGCTGACCAGTCCGTCCAGGCTGCTATACTCATTGTTTATCCTGAATAAGGCATCTTACAATGAGTGTAGTGGTTGAAGAGCTATCACATATACTGTCCGTCCTGAATAAGGCTTCCTACAGTATATGCGGTAATCCAAGGGCGACTGGGCATCTTATTTAAATGATAGGTTAGGACTCCCCATCTGATTTTGTTGCTTGCCTCCGATTATTTTAGTGATTCATTTGTTAATCTTATAATTTACCTAGATAAGGTTAGGACATACATGTATTAGTATATTTCGGCAGTCCACTAAGATCATATCAATTATTTCGAATCATTTAATGTTGAACACCCCAAACCCTGGAAATGACCAGGTACGATCCCTTTGATTAATTGTAAATAAGATACAGGAGATCACAATGTATGTCTATTAAATGAAAACAAGCAAATTTCCTCAATGTTACATGGTATGTGATATTAGGCAGTCACAAATCAAATAAATTTTCCTTGTATTTGATAAATAAATCTGGGAAAGTGCATACAGCAAGATAAAAATGTGGGTATTAACTTGAAAAATTATCTGAGGGGCAGGTGGATATATATATTAGTTACCTTGTAGTTGTACGTACGTGTGTATTTATGTTCAGGCTCATGTCTGGCGGTGGACAGTGTTCGACTGATGATTCTTGGGGACTGGGGAGGTCTTCCAACAATCCCCTATCACACTGCCATAGAAGTGGGCGTGGCCAAACAAATGTCTGCTGTGGCTAAAAAGTATGGCCCACAGGCTATCCTGGCTCTTGGAGACAATTTCTACTTTGATGGAGTAAAAGATTCAAAGGACAAAAGATTTGAGGTAATAAATTTTTCCTTTTAGTTTTCAGTTTAAATTAGTATATCAAAAATAGAAGATGTTTCCTAAAGTTAATTCAGAGCTGTATTTATGTAGGGCACGCCAAATTCACAAAAATGAGCTAATCATAGTTTCACAGTCTATAAACTAGGTTTATCGGTTGTAAACTATAGTTTAACACCGAAAACAATCATTTGCGACTGTTATCTAAAGTTCACAATCGTAAACTATGGTAACTATAGTTAACAATACGTGAATCTATGTTTATCAACAAAATCTATTGTTTATAAACTTAGATTAGCATTTGTAAACTATAGTTAACAACCATTAAATATAGTTTTACAGATAAAAACTATGCTTCACGAATTGTAAACTATAGTTTACGGTTTGTAAACTATAGTTTACAGTCAATAAACCTAGTTTATCAATTGTGAAACTAGGTTTAGCACGCCAAATTCACAAAAATGAGCTAATCATAGTTTCACAGTCTATAAACTAGGTTTATCGGTTGTAAACTATAGTTTACGGACTGTTAACTAAAGTTAACAACGTAAATCTATATTTTACATTTGTAAACCATACTTAACGCGATAATTTACGTTTCAGAACCGTAAACTATACTTAACACCAAAAACAATCATTTGCGATCGCAAAACATAGATTGTCTGATAAATACAGTTTCACGATTTGTAAACTGTGGTTTACAACTCTTAACTATAGTTAACGATCGTAAATTATAGTTTATAGATGTGAATCTATGTTTATCAACAAAATATATTGTTAACGTTTTATTACAGACAGATAAACTTAGATTAGCATTCGTAAACTATAGTTAACAACCATTAAATATAGTTTTACAGATAAAAACTATGCTTAACGAATCGTTAATTATAGTTTATGGTTTGTAAACTATAGTTTACAGTCTACAAACCCAGTTTATCAATTGTGAAACTAGGTTTAGCCCATTTTTGTGAATTTGGCGTGCCATATTTATGGTTTGGCAAGTGGTATTATCATGTATTAGTATCATTAAGTCTTTGTCGATTCACAGCAGAGTGGCAAATTAGTTTCAAAATATGCATATTATTTGATATTGTACTATTAGTTTTAAGAATTATTCCTTTCTTCTTATGCTTGATTGTGATAGGAGACGTTTGAGAAGGTATTCGCTGCCCAGTCAGGACTGGACAACATTCCGTGGAATTTAGTCGCAGGTAACCATGACCACAATGGAAACGTGGCTGCACAGATTGAATACTCAAAGCGCTCCAAAGTCTGGTAACAAAAAGCACCATTTAATTTCATCTCCTTTATTGAAAAAAAATCATGTTGTAAGATCTTTCTATATGAAAGTTAGTTGTTTGTGATATAGTGTTTGAGAAAATATTTAAGAATATAAATTTCTACAGGTTGTTATTTACTTAAAGATAACAAAGTTTTTGTACTTAAGAGGCTAAGATATGTTTTCTGAAATTAAAATTAATTTTGTCACCAAAAAGGTTCAAAGACTTATTACGTTATCACAAACTAATGTCTACTAAATTACAACAGGCGATTTCCCGACTACTACTATTCTCTGACATATAACATCCCTGGAGGGGGTGTGGTCCAGATCCTAATGATTGACACGGTGCTGCTGTGTGGGAACACGGGACACGATTTCCTACACGACCAGCCACACGGACCTGTGGACCTTAAAGCTTCAGATGACCAGCTGGCCTGGATCACACAGAACCTGAAAAACAGCAGGCAAGTTTGCTCTCTCTGACATTGTTACCCTGTGTTACTAATACATTCAGGAACTCTGTTTATCCACACTATCTATTGCAAAACTAGATAATTTTCTACTAATTTTTAAGGAAAACTTGTGGTTTTCTTGATCTGGATCATTAAACATATGACATATATATATGTGTCATATTCTGACATCTGTTTCAACATATCAAGTAATGGGTATGCATTTATAAGTGTGTGTTTATCTTCAGTGCTGACTATCTGTTTGTGGCTGGACATTTTCCTGTGTACTCCATTGCTGAGCACGGCCCCACCCAGTGTCTGATTGACAAAGTCTTACCACTTCTCCAGCAATACAAGGCGGTGTATTTGTCCGGCCATGATCACAACCTGCAGGTAACTACAGAGACATAACCTATATATAAGGGTTATGTTTATTTACTAGAGAGTTACACCCCTTGATTCCAAATACCGTAACTTTTTTGTTATTATCCATAGATACATGACTGAATGTACTTTTGCTTTATTCAAAAAGAATATGTTGAGAAACAGTTTGAAATACAGGAGATTTTGATACACATTTGCAGGAAACTGAAATGATAATCCTATTCATAACATCACATTAAAACAAGTTTCCTGTTTTCTCATCACAATTTATTATATAATCTACATGTACAAATGTTTGTACAGACTAATGATATATTTTTTTTCAGCATCTTCAAGTCTCAAGACCTGGCCTGACTATGAACTTCTTTGTGATTGGAGCAGCTAATTTTGCTGATGAAAGCAACGCTCACGCAAAAGACGTACCCTCGGGGTCATCCAAGTTCTTCTGGGCCAAGGAGCAGGATCTGGGAGGGTTTGCTTACATGGAAATCACAAAACAGAATGCTACTTTCACTTTCATTGATGGTGTTGGAAAAAATCTGTATCAAAAATTACTGCTGCCACGCAGATCCCCATGAACCAGTTATATTAACGTTTAGTGGTGGGGGTAGCGTCAGTCAAGATAAATGATAGCATTATTTTTTATGAAATGCTGGTGATTCATTCCAATTTGTAAATGTGCCAAAAATCATTTTTTATGTACGGTAAAACATGTAGAGTAAAATTCAGTTATAAGGAAGACACTGAGGCCTCACTTTTTGCTTCCAAAAAAACCAGATTTATTTTTATATATGAAACATTGGGAAAGATATTCTGTTACATTCATAAGAGATTCCTTCTAACCAAGATTTTTTATGTGTTCTTTATAAGCGAGTTTGACTGTACATGTACCGGTACATGAACTTAAATTTTATTTACGAGTTCAGCTTTTGTAATGCTTATCAAGATAATGTATCATAATTATAGTAACACTATGCAATACATTAACCACAATCAGTTATTTTGTTTACAATGACACACATTAATGTGGCATTATCTGCACTATGTACTTAAAATTGTCACAAATTATTTATCTGTGTTTGTTTTTAGGTCACTTGATCAGTGGGCAAATTTTATGTCAGCATACTCTTACATGTATATAAAGATCATGAAATTGTTGATATTGTGACCTATTACTTAATTTTTAGCTTTATTATTGTTTGTTAGTGATGAATGTCAGGTGAGTGCAATAGCCCATTGGCCCATAAGCTTTAAACCAATGAGTGTATTAGGTTGTTGTCCATTTACACAATTGTGCCATGTGAAAAATTATATATAACTCTATGCAGTTTTAATACATGTACTCCATGTAATAATGTTAATATGTACTTAATCCTTGTTATAGTTAATTTTAAGGTAATTAAGGACTGCACATAAAGAGAATTGTGATTAATTATCAGTTGTAAAATAACATTTAACTGTCATCATCAGCTGTAGCTGTGATATCGTGACAACCAACTTTTTATCGAATATTTATATCTTTATCTGCACAATCTTATTCATACTACATATTAATGCCATTATATGCACATTCCTATACACGAGTATATGATTGCTGAGATATTCTATATTTGAGATTCATTTTAATATATACAATGTCGTATACAAATTGTCCTTAAAGGGCCATGTGCAAACATTTTGTCAATAAATCAAATCAAAGAATCACCATTTCTTTTCCTTTTTTAGGAGTTTAATAATAGTTTTGAAAATCTTGCCATAAAATAAAGATAAAGTCCTTACTTTGTGACTCGAGAGCAAATGCTCTAACCATAACAGATCGGAGGAATTCAATTACGTCATAACATTTTGACCTTGACCTTCCTGTTGACTGCATTTTACTTTTTCTCATATAGCTCTTAGTTCTTATCTTATAGAGTTCCTTAATGGATCATTGTTTGACGATCACTAATAAAATTGTCACAAATAATAGGTTGAAAGTACATACAATAAGATTGATTGATTGCATGTTGTTTACCGTCCCTCTTGAGAATTTTTCACTCATGACATAGAGAGACGCCACCATTTGCCGTTGGAGAGCTGCACTCGGCTCTTATTGCCATTGAGCAGTGAGGGATCTTTTTCGTGCCAGCACCTACTGCGCCATGGGACCTTGGTTTATATGTTCTCATCCAGAGGACCGGTCTCCATGTCCCACAGTTGGATTCGAATCTGCAATGTAAGGATCAACTCCTTGCTTCATGACTCTAGAACAGAGGCTCTTACCACTGTGCTACACAGGCGACACACAAAATAAGAAGACAAAGTCTCTGTTTATAATTTATTTCTATTGAGAAGATATTCCTGTTTCTCTCCTAGTCTAAACCACTTCAAAGTTCCTTTACCATGAATAATTTATACAGCACTGGAGAAACATTTAACAGAACGTTTACAGATCATTACTACATGTATTTATAATTGGAAAAATTTTCCTCATTCAGCAGTATCAATTTTTACAATATTTGGCTTTATATACTGGTACAATAAATAAACACATATAATACAATAAACTTTTGTAGAAAAAGTGCAACATTGTGCTGATAATTAAATAAATATTACAGAATTATCATAATTAAATAAATATTACAGAATTATATATTTGACCTGGGGATTCAATAAACTGATAACCTTTTTTCAATGTGATTATGGCACACACTCAAGACAAAGTAACATTAACAAAATATAACGAAAAACCCACGATTTAGCACTTTCCTATAAACTCCAATTAAAATAATTATGATTAATGAGAAACAAATAACATATGATATTAAAGCTTCACACATTCCATTGCTTGTAGAATAATGATTCAAGAAGAACAGGCACTATATATATCAGCACAGTCTGTATAAAGGGAAGTAACTCTTACACAAGTCAGTATAAATACAGGTCAATATCTACAGTCGCTTTGGGTCAGCTGCTCTTTGTTAATACTCAAATCTACACGATTGTTAGAGGTCTAATACTGGACGGATTCACATTAAGTGGTGCAGTGCCGCGGTCTATCTGTTCTACTGTACAAAAATCAGAACGTAATCTCAGCCATGTAGTCTTCTGTAAATAGAAACAACATTTGTTAGTATATCATGAAATAAAACAGTTTTCGTTCATTCCATTCATTTGTTATAATATAATGACAAAACCAAGTTTTTATTCCATTCAGTGGGTTGGTAGACTTCACAATGTACCTGATTGTTCTACTGGACTTACTATGGCATTGGTCGTCTGCCTGGATCCCCGGATCTGGAATATTCTGGATCGTCATAGCGTCGGTAGGAAGCCTCCTCTCTCCTCTTCCTCTGTAACATCTCCTCGTATGTTGGAGTCTGCACGGGTTTGTTACTCGGGGGGCGGCTGTTGGACCTTTTTATACATAATTTTAATATTTATATATTAAATAGAGATAAGAGAAGAGAAATAAATTTAGATATTGAGCCATCAAGACAGAATTTGATAAAATGCTGACCTGGATCCCCCTGCTTCTTTCTGCCAATTATCCTATAAATAGTACCCAACATTTTAAAAGTAACATTTTGAAAGTAAGTAAATGTACAACCAATTGTATACTGGAAATTTTACAATCTAAATGTATTCTTACTTTCTGTTATGACCTGACTTAGTATCAAATTTGCTTAATAAACTGTGAATGTTTGACCTAATATTTGTCAAGAGTCAAGGTCAACCTACTTCCTAGTCTTTTACAGTTAAAAATCCAGGAACTCGGATATATAATGTGAATATTTTGATTGTATAAAAATTTATTATTATTAAAAATTCTGTATCTGGTAAATGAAATAGGCTTGACCTACTTCCATAATTTTGGGGTCCACCCACTTGGGTCGTTCCAGGGGGCGCTGCTGTGACTGGGAGTTATATTTCTGTAAGAAGCATGCAAACAACACATACAAGCTGTTAAACCTCAAACTTCCCATACTATTACCCATTATGACCTTGGGGCCTGTTTTAGACAAAGAACTTACGACTAAGACCAACGACTCAAGCTGAATGTAAAATTTTACAAGATGAATGATTCTGTTTAAAATTGCTGGTGTTGAAATATCTTACTCCATTCCTTTTAAAAATATTAAAATCATTTTCAATATAATCTTACTTAGACATTAATATGCAGAATTGAATTTTGGTCTTAGTCTGAGTTCTTTTGTAAAAAGGGCCCCTTGGTAAATACAGTGTTTCCAAACACCAGGGTATTGAAAAGGTGCTGTACTAAGTGGAAATTAAAGCTTTTTTCTACTTTGAACCCATGTATGTTTTAGGATGTGTTTACTGTAAACTTTACAGATTTTTTCATTTGATTTGAAGATCCCTACTTGATATCAATTGTGGTATTTTTGTTGACACAAGCATTAGATTGTTATTATACAGTAGAACAGCACCTGATCACTCCCCTAAATTGTATGATGTGTAAAACACTACCAATCTAAAGATTGTCTCCCCTGTACAATGTGTAAACTTCATAAATTATCTTTCCCTTTTTTTTTTGTTTATGCAAACTGCAAACACATAATTATACTAGTCTACATTAATATATATAAAAACAATAAACTGTTAAATATAAGATTGGTTAATGATGTCAAAAAACTGTATTTCTGTAGAACCTGTACCCAGTTGTTAATATTGACTGTATAACTATCTACCTTGATTTTGCTTACCTTCACCATAGCAAGTACAGCCCAATGTTAGTTAACTATTTCTCTATGAATTAATCACTAATTGTTACATTACTACTAAGGTGTATAGGATTGGGTTAGGCTGGGCTGGGGGGGGGGTCCTGCCTAGATACAGACTGGGGGAGGGGGACTAGTCTTTCTATCTAGACATCAAGTACAACTGTGGTACTTACCTGGTAATTTGAACTCAAGAACACCTTTCATTTCTTTAATCAGATTTAGGCAATTGGGGTGGAATGGGTCCGATTTTTTTTTCTTGTATCTTTATTCGGATGTATGTGGACAACCACGGACTTTACAAATTTATTAAATAAATTTTTTTTTGAAATGTTACAGTTATCTTAAAATTTAACTGTAAGTGTTCAGCTTGGTACCCAGCTAGACAAATTTAGGTAGCTAAAAGACTATAATTCATTTGGACTAAGTTCAATATGTCATAGGTAGTAGAAGAGTAAAATTCTTATCTGATCCTTACAAGAACCAGAATAAAGAAATATTTGAAGCTCTTCTCTGGCACAGAAGTAGATTTTGGTCACAGAATGTGTCAATGTTTTGCACCAAAGTATTCTCTCATATCACATTAAAAAAATTATTTCATTGTTACAAGGACACAAATAAACACACCAGTGGACCATGTCTTTTTTTTTTTAGGAGAGAGAAGGTTAAGGGTATTGTGGACAGGGAGTACATGTACTTTTCTTCTCTAATGTTGTGGTGTGTGTTGGGGATGGTAGGTACTAGACCAGGAGATTGTACACACTTTAAAAATGCTTGAGGACAGAGAATGATACTTTTGTTTTCTAATGTTGTGGTGCATGTTGGAGATGGGAAGTACTGGACCAGGAGATATTCATACTCACAGTTTGGAGGTACTTGTTGTAATTGTAAGGCACTCAGTACCAGGAGACAGTACTCACACTTTGGAGGTACTTGTTATAGTACTCACACTTTGGAGGTACTTGTTGTAATCCTCATGTCTCTCCTTGGCCAGCCTCTCTCTGATTTCCTCCACGGGTTTCCCCAGCTGAGACATGAAGCCGATGCGATTCTCCGACCGATTGTTGTCCTGCCTCCTGTATCGGTCCGCCTCCTGTTTCTGCTGATAAAAAAATGATCGTGGAGGAATCAAATTGACAAAATTTATTCTATAAAGTATGGATCTGCAGTGTGCATTTTAGAAATTCCCCTTAAAAATAAATCAGAAAAACTGATTCTATAGAGTTTATCATTGTGTTTCAGAAGAAAATTGAAATTGACATTTAAATTTAGAAAAAAAATGAAATATAATCCCAATCTAAAAATATCACTTTTAGAGAGGAAAAAACAAACTTATTTCAAAAATACATTTTTAAGAGTAAGTGAAAATGTTAAATTTTAAAGATTTGAAACATTTTAATTCAAGCCTTTATAATATGCACTTTTTTTTTTTAAATACTGAGACATGCATGTGCAGGTAATATAAATGGCATGGCTATAAGGTTTAAACTATTTTAGGTAAATAAGAACATGCAAATATACTTTTATTGATAAAATGTACATCATTCAGGCACTTTTAGCATGCTAGCAAATGTTTTAATGAGTTCATATCAAAAATATCATTTGAGGATTTATATCATATATAAAATCATTTAACCATTCCACAATAAACAAAATTTTACATGAAGTTTAATAAAAGCTTGTAGTTATCAAATCTGTACAGAAATGACATGTGACACAAAATTTCACATACCAGAGACATTTATTACATATAAAAAGCTGAATCTTGTTATAAAAAAGGGGAAAAACACAGAAATCAACATATTGAACAATACGTCTACAAATTTATGATGAATCCCAAAACACTAATTATGATAAAATGCTATGTATGCAATGATATAAACAACTATATAAAAGCTAAGTAATAGACAGAGTAAATAGGCAATTTTTATTACATGAAGCATGAAATATGATTGGTTGTAAAAAGGGAATCCCGCCACCATCCAGCCAATCGAACGCAGTGTCTTATGTTACCTCCAGGAATTCCTGGAAATCTTTGGACCTCTCCTCTCGGACTCGATCCTTGGTGTCCTTATTATACAGTGGATCAAACAAGACCGCCCCTTGCTGCCCAAACACTTTAACTCGCTCTTTAGGGGGAGGTTTCTAGTTATAATAAGGTCAAAGGCATGGATGACAATTTTGGGAAAATTTAATTTATTATGTTCATTCTAGAATTCTTTTTTTGGTTAAATGTTATCATTATTTTGTTATTTTTTGTTATTAGTTGTATATGAGTTAATTTTTCCCTACTTCTTTATGAGCTCCTTGTGATAATAACACCCCCTTTTTTAAATAAAATTTTATTTAAATTTCAGAATCAGAATTGATGATACTGCATTCCAGTCAAGAGTTATTTGATAATAAAAAAGTTGTCTAGTAAATAATTAATATGATGGTAATTTGATGATCAGAGTCTGGCAAGCTCTTCATAAATTAATACAAATCTGAAGATCAGATTCTGTGCAGAAGCATGCACAAAAAACAGAAAGTGAGAATAGATCATTTAAACAGGGGAGAGAACCCAGGAAGAAAAAGAATAACCATGAAAACTGATCAGAATTGGTGCTAAAAGGAATATCACTGCTGAAATAAAATGCAAAAGAGTGTCATGCATATTGCAATCAATTAAATTATACCATTTACAAGGGATGTTTAAACCAGGCCTGAAATGAAATTTATGAAATTAGGTGTATCATGGATGTCACATGACCTTGTTTGATTAAGATTGAGCAGTTGCTATGGTATCAGCAGATGTAAGAGTTTTGATTGGAGGAGAGTACCTGGCTCTGATATTCTTTGAACTCCTCTCGTAGTGCGTTATTCAGCCTCTCTCGCCGACCTTTGTACTCCCCAGACTGTGGAATGGTGTGAACCGGTTCATCCTCTTTCCAAATTTCCTTTGACTTCTGAACCACTGGGTGCTGTACAAAGACAAGGTAACATTCTATCCATGTCTTTTATACCATTCTCAATATACACAGCAGCTCAACCTTGTGTTAGCTCACTTTCTATTACACTGTTATATTGGTACATGCACCACTGCAAACTTTAAGCTTTCTTGTTAAATGCCTTGCAGATTCTGTTAATTCCACATGAACTTCTGGGCAGTCATATTTCTTGACTGTTTTCTACATCAACCATAGGAACATTTAATTTCCATTAATACTATGCAGCATGATCATGCATATTTCCTGAAGCATGTAAAGCAATACATTTTCACAAAAGTTAAATATAAGCTGGTAGGATCTTTTCCGTTATTAGACAACCACTTCATGCCAGTGTTAGTGTCAGCCCCAATTCTCTGACGGATGGATTAGTCCACGTAGAATTACCCCTGAGTAGTAATCACGACATTCCTCTCGCCACTGCCTCTGGAGCACCTTCTGTCTGTCCTTGTACTCCCCGACCGGCAGGATGTGGGGATTATCTATCTCCTTCTGGTAATACTTGGCTATCTCACGCTCCCTCTCTTCTAGCTCCTTCTTTACGATTTCATGCTTCTGTTTAGTATTAATTAAGTGATCAGAGTTTTTGGGGGGAACATTTCAAATGAATATTTGTATTAGAACTCTTTTCAATTTCTATGCAATGGTTACCATGGTAACTCATCTGACCAACCTTAGCAGCGAAATCACGGAAGTTTTTTCTCCATTCTTCCTGTAATTGTTTTTGTTTGTCTTGATATTCTCCCTGGGGGAAGATTCGGACCTTGTCCAGGTCTATGCCATCAGATTCAATCTTAGATATTGCCTCCTCTCTCTTTCTGTGGATGTTCTTAAGATCTTGGGGCTGAGAACAATGTGTGACTTTATGTTATGAAAAATCAACCATTTCATTTTACCTACTTATGTTATGAAAGATACCTGTTCATTTTATCTACTTATGTTATGAAATATACCTGCTCTTTTTACCAACCAGATGCATGAATCTACAGAACTTATCAATTTTGACATGATAATAATTCTGAAAAGTAAAACCTCTTCAAACTCCATATTCTAGCTCTCTATACCTAATATCTATTAACTAAATATATTTCATAGGTATGGGAATGGGATTCATAGCTATGCTACATATGTCAAAACTTCAATGTTCAAACTCTCAAATAATATACTGGTGGTGAAATAGAAATTCATATACAATGTATTTTCTCAGAGTGTAGAAAGATTACATTTATTATTAAGTATTACAGTGAGCTACAACAAGGAGAAACCCAATTTAGTGATTTGAGGTCATATGTCATGTTCTGGAGGTCAAGGGTTAGATTTGAACTATGGATTAGTGGTTGGTTAGTCTACAACAGCAATGTACCTTGATGTATTCATTGTACTCCCTGCGACGTTCATTGTTAAATTTGACATTAGCACTGCTGGGGTAGTCCACCCTATCTCCTGTTATGAGAGACCCAACCGGTACGTTCCTCTGGGACTGTCTGCCGGCTGGCTCCTGTTTGGGAGAAACCCATTCACAATAGAATACACACAGACATACATACAGACGACCACTAACAAACAACACACAGTGGACACTAGAACACAAAAACAGAGTTTGATCAAAGCTCTTCTACTGCTTCAGGCTCAGGAATTGCTCAGAATTGAAAAATGGACTACTCAGTAAAGTGCTTTGTACAGAAATATATTCATATAAATGCAATACATAATTGGCACTCTGTGCTGCTAAATTGCTGCATTTTTAGCAACACTGGAATTTCTCATATGTTGCATATGAGTAAAAAATACTTTACATTCCAACAAACATCAGAAAAAACCCACTACTAGATAGACTCTATGATGTACATTATTTATTTTCTTTACACTTGATACAAAGCAGATCTAGATTAAAAACTGTAAATTAAACAAAAAATCCATCAAAACCCACATTAACCATAAATTACTCTGCCTGAATCTAAAGACATTAGAAGCAAAGATCAATGGGGTTTAAAACAAAAAATTTAATTGTAAATGTGTATTTCACTATATTTCTTAGATAGGAAAAAAAATATACCAGTTTCAAGGCTTTCTATTACTGCAAAATATGACTTTGTCTCATATCAACCATTGGTAAAAATATACAGTCCAACGCAAACCACTCATTACTCAGTAAAGAGGTGAAATGGATATCCTGAAATATCAACAAGCTAACCTCTCAACTGCAACTTGTCTCCAATGCAAATCACACTTTAATACTGCAAACAATTACCCAACAACCAAGGCAAGATTAAAAATTGTAGCATTACCTGATCCAACATTTCTTGTCTTTTTATAGCTGGGCTTTTAAACTATACAATCATACAACAATATATATAAAAAAAATTTGATTTACTAGGTCAGGATGACAAATTTGAGAAATTCAGGTCAAGGTCAAAATCAGTATGACAAGATTGTGAATTTAGGTCAAGGTCCCCTCACCTGATCATGTGTCTCCGTCGTCAATCCGTAAGATTGGAGCTTGCCACTGTGGGTCCGAGTATAATCACTGGACACTGCCTGAGGGGCGATCTACCATAAAATTCACATTAAGAGAAAACAGAAAAATGACCCAAACACCATAGCATTACCTACCCTTTCTACATCAGCCACCATACAATAACCAACAAAACTACCAAATAACAACCAACAAACACAGGTCAAGGTCAAGGACTATATGTTCAAGAAGTCCTGTTCAGCACCAATATTTCAATGTGTGACTAAAAACCCAGTAGTGAATCTCCAGAATAGAAGCATTGAAACCCTTCACACCGTGAATAATACACTCATCTAATTCACAACTAATTTTTAAGCTGTGAAACATTCAAACAGTGTAAATTAAGTTAATTTATTCTTCAAAACAATGTCTTGAACTTGAGCATAAGTAATATTCATATTTAATCAATTGATACATTTATTAAGCAAAAAATATATGTATATGAATTTCAATTAATGTAATAATCTGATTTTAGATGTACCGTGGTAATTAAAAAAAGTATCAATTAACAAATACAGGTAACAAATATATACCTACATTTAAAACAAAAGACAAGAAAGGAACAGAAACAAATCAAAGAACTTGGGAAACAAATAAAAATGTGCATGACAACCACCGCAGAAATCTACATAACTAACAAATCCAGGTGATCTTAAAAACATATAAAATGTAAAACAAGGAGAATTTCAAACCCAGTAAACCAGACTATCCCAACATATTGCAGAGCCTCTAGGCATGGGAGGGAACACTGGGGGGAGAGGAGGGAAAACTTAGTATCAGCCAATGTTCACCCGATTCACATCTCACTTTTTTTTTTTAGTTCATCTCAGCTGAAGGCTCATGGCTAAGTGAAAAATTTGTGATGAAAAAAAAAAACTCCCATTGGTTTGTGGTTGGATATGATTTTTATCTAAATCCCATACATATATTGTGTTTTCTAATCCCCCCCCCCTCCCCAAACCCATACCATGTGTGCACAGGACCACAAGATCTAATGACATAACATAGAATTTTTACCATTTCTAAAGTAATTATCTCCCTTTACAACACTTGTGTTACTTATTCAAGTAAACTATGCTTTGTGGCAAACACTTTTTGATTTGTTGAATCGATTGAGAGGTCCAAGAAATGACAAGGTGACAATGGACAACAGAAAACCTTCTACCAGAGAAGCTGAATTCGTTTGAGTTATATATAAATACATACACATGTATATATCTGTCTTAGTCTGGGATTGTTAATGCTGAAAACATACTTTTTTCCATGGCTTGTAATTCAAGCAGATTCGCCATTTTTGTTCTATCCAGAGGTAGAAAATTTGGCGGATTTCTTGGATATCCATTGTAAATATGAATTGCTTTTTATGATATAATGCTGGGACAAATCCATAGAAAATGTGAGAGTTAACTCATGAACTAAAAACCCACATGGAAAAAAGTACATTTAGTAATTTATAGTAAGTCAGATGCTCTGCAAGACATGTTGGATGACACAGGGGAGATAATACCTGTATATGTGAGTTCAGATTAAATCGAGCCTGATTGTCGACACGACTCATATATTGTTCCATCTCGGAGGAGCGTGTACCCCTGTTAGCTAGAGGGTCTTGGAACTATTTAAAGAAAGCAGAGACTGACTTAAACTGAATATTTGTACCTTCTCTATAAAATTCTGCATTTATTTGCCAGACATGCATCCATATATAAGAACATTCAAAAAAATGTGTGAAAGAAATCTTCATTAATAGATGAATGAAAATTATGATTTTCTATATATAAAAGCAATCATGTATGAATTTTTTTTTTACCAGTAATTAAATCCATCTGATTAAGTATTACTTGTAATAAAATTCCCCCAAACCAATCTGAAGCAGCAAGCAGATTTAAACAACAAGAGAAAAGTCTATTGGAGGAGAGGGGGAGTGGGACAGATGTACATGTATTTATATGTTCCGTTTAACATGAGGAATGGTTTCTATGGTGACAACTCTGTACTGACCTGGTCCTGGAACTCGCTTCTCATCCCCAGCTCCGGCCGACGATTCGTCTCGGGAGGCTGGTGTCTATCAAAACCCTTCTAAAAAGATCAGAAAAAAAGAATATTCCACCTGTTTCCCTTGTTTAAATTAATTTTAATTTCATTACAAATATGTGTGTCTCTCTCTCTCTCTCTCTCTCTCTCTCTCTCTCCCCCCCCCCTCTTTCTCATTTTATAGATTAAGTCAGACTGAATTTTGCCTTCATATCATAATAACTTTTATAAAAGCAGCCAGTGCATTCATACAACCATGACAAGCATGAGGCTTGTGATGTTCCTTTTCTTCAAAATATAATAGTTTTTGTTCCTTTTTGATAAGCTATTTTCAATCCAATTATCATTAAATTTTTACATTTCCTAAACTCATGGTCATTTTTGGGATCACGAATTTAAAGAATCATAAATCAAACTTAAGTTAAAATTAATACTATCGGAGAAAATCATAATGTATATATGCACTCCTTATTGTTTTCAGTTTCTCTTCAAACATGTTGCAATTAATTAATTTATGAATTGTGTAACAATATATCCTTTTTAGTTACCCCCAGGACCTTATGTGCATACAGTGAGTGCATTAAATATTCAGTTTGATACATACATTAAATCTGTTAAAATATACTGTACATCATTGATTAGTTGAATTAGTGAAATATTAGATTAAACAAAAGACAGACACTACCATTTACCACAGTCTAACTTCTAAAAACAAAATATTGCAATACCATACATTATCAAATTATTTTACAGATATAAATCTATGATATTAACTAGGATCTTTTGCATAGCTAGTTGAATTTTTTTTATCAGTAAGTATACATGAATTATACATGTGGTAAATGCATAGTATAGAATTAAGAAAACTGTTGGAAATAATGCATAAAGAATACAGTGAGAAATAAATTCAAATTATAATTTATAAGAACATTGAAATCAATTAATATAAAAGATGTTATAAATCAAATATAAACAAGAGACATAAAAAAAAACAGAGATTTGCAACTGCTAAAAATCACTTGATTTTTCATGTGCCTATTTGATTTTTATTCAAATAAAAAAAAAAAACACATGTATGTAGAATTTCATATTTTCTTAAGTTTGTTTTAATTCTAAACTACAATGTCACCGGGGTAATTTTATATAGGAATATGTGACCTGTAGTTAATTGGCTTATATATGTGAAATTTCACTGAGTTTTAATGATTTACCTTATCATTTGCCTTAGTATGTAGATTACTTTTAATTAAGGAATAATTGTCTGATTTTTTGGTTTCATAATGTGATCAATCGATTTGCTTGGATGATAATTTGCATAAATGTTAAAGGCGTTTCTGCATAAAATTATCATGCAAGCCAATCGATTGATCATTGTCATGAAATCAAAAAATCTAACAGTTATTCCTTATATTTACATTCCCGTGATTTCCGAGTAAATACTAGTACACCTTCACTGCACTTTGGCAAATCTCTGTTATTTATGTATCCTATTTTAAATATATATTAAAATTCAAATGTACAAATGTACTTTATTTTATGCTTAGAAATGATGCTTCATATTTATTCATACTCTTTATCAAAACACAAGGCAAATCACTTCAGAACAAACAAAAAAAGCTCTACTAATTATTCAGCAGGTTCTACAAAGCATTATAAAAGCCCTTGACCACGTTTGTAATTGTCTAGTACACTTGTCAGACCTCCAGCTGGGCTGGTCAGTTTTAATTTTACTTATTGTCACATCTCTAAAGATTAAAACAGATATATAGAAAGGTGTGATTTTTAAAAAGTCTGCAAAAAATTATATACTGAATTTCAAAGGAATGAATTAAAAAATTATTCAAATGCAAAAATAATTAATTTTAATTATCTGTGAAAAAAGTAAAGATTATTAGCTAAAATGACAGTGCCCATTCAAGATCATGTGCAAAGTGCCACAAATGAAAACCAGGAAAGATTAAGATAGCCAATCAAAATCCACAAAAAGATGTCAAGTCACCGTGCCATCACACCCCTGTATACCTTTGCCAGCAGTTGGTTGTATTCCTGATTTCGTTGTTTTTCCTGCATTTTACGCATGTTATCATATTGCCGTTGACTGAGGGGTAAACCCTGAAGGTAATCTGGTGTTGGGGCTCGTTTACTGTTCTGGTCATGCTGTAACATTACATATAAATATCTACAGTCAAAACTAAATTATCCCCCAAAACGGCTGTCCATAGGTCAAGGTCAAATCTGTACTAAACCATCCCATATTGTTACACTATGCATGTAGTTAGTGCTTTGTGACTACGGAGCTGGAGTGAATTTCTAATGCCTGGTGCTACCACAAACCATAATAATGGCTACCACTATACCATACAAGTCTCTCAATTACCATCACCAATTCTACACTAGTATATATATATACTACTTGTTTTTACACTGCTGTGATGGACCTCTTGTTTGGAACGCGTCTTCAATAAAATTACATAATATATTTAAAATGGTGTTCTATTTTCTAGATATAAATAAATATGTGAAATAACAATGTCCAACAATACCATACAAGATATAGAGATTTCACCACCAATAAATGTCAAACTAGAACCATGAGAGACCTATATTTCCTACCACCATGTGTGGCACAACAAATGGTTACCATAATAAATATGGCTACCTTCAGATGAAAATTGTAGTCCCTATTTCTCTGTTTTTCCTGCATTTTGCGATACTCATTGTACCTGAGCTCACTTTCTACCATAGGGAGGCTTGTATTATTACCCTTCCACACCGGATTCCACTGAGCATCCTTCAGAAATACGCAAGTGTTTTATGACAAACTCTCCTGTATGATACATATAACATATGCCTACCACATGTATGACAATGAATATAATAAACATCTCTCCAAATTTTAAAATTCTGCCCCTCATTTTCTCATTGTAAATACTTGAATCTGATTTGGTTCATGTTAAATATGAGTTCTGCATCATCCAAATGAATATACCACTTTATATGCCTATGAAATTCTTGAGTATAAGAAAACACTTCTAAAGCAGTTGAACACAATTTTATACCTGCTTTCTCAACAACTGGTTGTATTCCATATTTCTTTGTCTTTCCATCCATTTTTGTTTGGGGATATAATGCTGTTGACCTATGGGTAGCCCATATGCCTCTGGAGGTGTGGCAGGCTGCTATATATAGAAATTGTTTAACGTCCACCCAGCAGTTAGTGGCCCTAACCTGAATACACAGCTCCTAACATGCAGCTACTAACACTACAGACCAAAACACACCAGGCTGCATGCACCCAAACTCACAGCACTATAAACAATACATGCTGTAGGCAGATGACTGGTCAATCTGCAGGCAGCATGCAGAGCAGCATAGAAAGCATAACGCTCTCAATGACAGCATTTAATCGTCATACTTGTAAGTTACTAGTTAAGTCATACTATTAATGCCATCTTAATTTCAACCAACAATTAATTTTACATGCATTAACACAGTCACCTTTAGGACAGTTTAGATTACTAAGCATTAACTTGGGTAAGTTAGATTATAAGTTCACAAATACCTACCTTCTGACAGTTCAGCTATAACTATAGGACATGAATTCTGACTTTTTACAGGTAAGGGTTAGAGTTAGTCCCTTGAGACTTACGCTTTTGAGGTAATTCTGGTACTCTCTATGCTGCTGGTCCCTCAGTGCCTGTCGTTTGTGGTCGTACTGTTCGGAGCTGTAGTAATCTCCCTTGATGATTGGTGCCGGAGCCTGACGACGCTGTTCCACTAATTTCATACGCTTTTCATCCTCCATATGTTGTTTCTACAAAACAAAAATGATTAGTTTAAACCTCACAGTTTATAATGAAAAGTGATTGTGTTAATCAGTATTTCTGATTTTTACACAGAGGATCAAAAGAATTAAGTCTAAGACCTCCCTCCCCCCCAAAAAATATTCTTGACCATTCAATCTCTAGCTAGAAATTCTTATGTATTTCCTTGGACTATATATGTATTGTATTGAATTTCTTGTTCGTAGGTCATAGCAATATTTACAATAGTACAACTAATATAGTACATACTTTGGCGAGGAATTCGTTGTACTCCTTGTTTCGGACTTCATGTTCTGTCTGTCTGCGGTAAGACCCATAATCATCGTGACCGATGTTAGCTTGGTGTGGCGGTGAGGTCACTCTCTGCAATTATAGAAAACCAGTCACTGTCAGTGTTGTAACTTTTTATTATTTTTTGAACTCAGATGTATTAATCTGAGTAATTTCTACCTAGATGTCTTTGAATTCATTAATGGCTTCCAGTTAAACTTTTCTGTGTGAATGATGGTTTTGGCACAATACATGTAACTCAAAACACTTGTATTTACATTTAATTTTGTTAAGTCAGTCTCTAAATTAAGCATGCAATTTTAATTATTCAAACTATTAAAAGTTTTAGAAATATACATTTGGTTCAAATACATGTTACACGTGATATTTCGTTAAAAACATGAACATTTTAATAGGTGAGAAATATCATTGATATAAATATATATATTTCAGTGAGGACTGAAAAGGATTTCTCACTTTGTTCACACATACTCATGCAATTAAAAGTGCGAAGATGCTTCAAAAACATTCACCCAGCATGCACAAATCAAGTGATCACCCCTTACTGTCAATTTTGATAAACTTTACAAGAAATATTGGGCTGAAACAACCAAAAAAGGAATACAGGACAGTGAAGCTGTTCTCAAACCCTAAATTTTTATCAAAATAAAAATCATTTGGCCTAAAATCTGGACTAATCCCAAAATAGTTGTCCTGCTAGTTTGATAAGGAGTGGAAGACAGCATACCTTTACGGCACCAAAATTAGACTGTCTGTAAGAATCAGGGTCCCATCTCCCTGAGGGTGGGCGGTCCTGGGCCTGGGACAGATCGAGGGGAGGTGGGGGGTCAGAATTTGCCTGGCGACGGTCGATCACTGGAATTTCCAGTTGGTGTTGAGCTCGGTTCAGTATTTGCTCTTTTTGTTGCTGGAAGTTTAAGAAATTTATTTTTTGTAATCCAAGCTGTTTCAAAAACTTTAATTAGATTTAAAAAAAAAAAAAGAATTTCTAAGCAATTCATTTAGTATCACATTAGTTAGCTTGAAAATTTTATGACATGTTTAAAGAAGTTTTCAATTGTATGCTATCTATAAAACAAAAGATATTAAAAAGAAAAGGATTGTTTAGTGCCCAAAAGCTGCCTAACAAATTTCTGGTATTATCCCTCGAAAATGCCTGCCTGATGAATATGTTGACCATTTCATTTTCTCTAGTCTTTTCTAATTTTAAAAGATATTTTATTTTAGGTTGCATAATCAGAAATCATTGCTTGAAATTTAGATATTTTCAAGACAAAACTTCATTCTATCTCTATCTTATAATTGTAAGAATTTGGAGTCTTGAATTGATTGATAATTAATCTAAAGTAAAGTGTGACTGACTGATTCTAAGTAGGGCAGGACTGAGTAAAGCATGATCAACTCATTCTGAGTACACTCGATTGATACTGAGTAAAGCTCAACTGATATTGAGCAAAGCTCAACTAATATACCGTATAATTCCTATTAACCGTCCCGGGCGCTTAGAAAATTGCAAAAAGTGGGCGGTTATTTTGGTGTTCTCTTTATGATATTTAATGTCATATTTTAACTTCAAAAAATCATTTGAAAATGAAAATAAATACAAGAAACAACTAGGATAATGTCTAACTTTATTTAAAGTGAAAATAATCCATCCAAATTATGCTAAATTGTTCATTTTCCATTGAGAAATTGGATGATAGACAAATTTCATTCTCACTTTCTACATTTTTAAGCGCTAAGCGCGCATGCGCAAGCGCTTTATAGGGTGTCTTCAGATTCCATGATGATTTTCACAATCTTTTTATCAACGCCCTCTACCGACCGCATTTTTTATCAGGGCTGCATTCAATACCATAGTTGCTAGTAAACGTAAGCGTAGTTTAATATATTGCTATATACCCAGTTGTTTTGAAAAGACAGCTCGTCTACCCGTAAGATGTTGAAATAAATTCTATTATACAATCATTTCATTTATAACTAATATATTGGAAATAGACATGCAAAAATTGAATGTGTGAGATTTTATGATTAGATAAAGAACATTCCTTCAGTTAGTATACCGGTATATACAGAATGTCGCGTGATGCAAAGTGTTATCCAAGTAGGATTGCAGGATTTTAAACTTAGCATAAGTATTTATGAATGTATATTCTTTACGTGGCTGCTATTCTTGTTCAAATTTTGTATCTGTACTTAATATTTATCTAGCACTAAGATCTTGAACGCGCCCCTAACGCGCCCTCTATAAATACTGACATAATTATGTAAACAGATGGGTTCTATAATGCCTTTGCAAGGGCTACTATTGTTGACCTAAATTATCTCCGTGGTGTAATATGGTTCTATTTAAAGATGATTATATATATATATTTTTAAATAATGTATATTATGTTCTCAAAATGACCAACTCTATTACGCGGAGTGATACTTTTTTAAGTGTTTAGACAGCCTACGAAATACAGCGCCACTTGGCAAGTTATGTAACCCTACTGAGTCATCTAAAAATGTACAATTGGAAATCCCTGACCCTCTGTCGGCTACTTTAGTGTAGGAGATATCATAATAGGTGTTTTAAAATTAGTACAGTCGATATCAATTTTCGTATGTTCGGAAATCCTGCGTTAGTGCGGTTCTTATCTCTGAACAATATGGTGCGTATTAATAATTATATTTCACAAATCTTATTTCTGCAGTGATAATTCGAAAAAAAAATGACCACACATGTTTATATATTGATTAAAGTACCTAAAAAAGATTTATGCGCACGTGTATTTAAAAGTCTCATTAAGATTTCAATGAGTATTTAAAAAAATCAAATTGGAATTAAATCTTTTAGAAGTATAATTCAATAAAAAAATACTTAATTAGGTACTATATCTAGTTTGTATCTACATTTTGTAGTTTCATTACATCATTTTTCACGTCCTCTTCTGCATAAGCCTTTATTTCAAACAATGTAAATACAAACGAGGAATTTTATTATCACACTTGCATTATGCAGGGGGCTATCAATGATAATGATTTCACAGCATCAAATTATCCTTTAGTAGCACAAACTTGAACGCATTTATATAGAGTCTATACTTGTTTTGTAGTTTTTATTTGTAACAAAATATTTTGAGGCAAAAAAAAATCCTTTTCACTGAACGCTTGGGTGTTGTGGCTATTACTTCTTGTCAACCTGTTTTACATGATAGTAAAAAAAATGAAGCATTTTAAAGTATTTTCGCCAAAATTAGTTCAAGAAAAATACGATCGAATTTTAATGTGATATTTTTTTCTAAGTAGAAGAGTATTTGATTAAACATTTTTATTTTAAAAAGAAATATTGACAAATCAGCTTCAAATATAACACGAGAAACAGAATGGCCAAACTTTTTTTTTTTTATTTCGGTAAATTTTAAAATAAATTATAATTCATGTGTGTGAGAGTCAGAGATGAAGGATCACAGGTACTTGTGGACAGGACTCCCCCTTTCATATTGTACACATGATGAATAAGTGTAATAAATATAATTTGTGAAAAAAAAGTCCAACAATTGAACAGAGAGAGAGAGATGTCAACAATGACGCCGATCTATAGCCCTGCCTCCTATAAATATTGATTGTGTGATCTAAAACCCACTACGGGTACATGTCGAATTCCGGAAGACGATACTCATGTACCTTTGTTTCAGTTTGATACATGACAACATGGGATTATTCATGCACAAATGTTCCACCTAATATAACCAAGTATATGTAGCTCTTTCCATTGCTCGTAACATATTTTGGATTCACTTCATTTACAGCTTGGTAGAAGAATCGCAAAAAGATCCAAAATAGGGAGTTAAGTCCACCATTCTTTGTCAAAAAAAGAAAACTTTCCAACTAATGCAGAGCTATATATATAATCTGAAATGAGGTAAGTCAGAAGAAAAAAATCGGATTGTAATATTAATTGATATCAATTCAATTTTTATCGCAGAAACCTGGATCCACAATGCAACACAGGTAATCTTGTTCTTCGGACGGGTAACAGTGTTACTTTCCTATGGTGCGACAAACAAACAAGGGTTAAAAAAAGTAAAATCACTTTCTTTAATAAGATTGCACCGAGATAGTAAATTAGATTATCTTTGTTAATTTTATTATTTATTTTTTTTTTGCATTTTTTAAGACTTTGTTATAGTAACACAACTTACATTCGATGTTATTTAACGTAACAGTCAAGGCGATCAAGAGGCGGGTTTAGTTGAACTAGCTTAGCGCTTCCCAGTACTTTCAATACTTTGATTTTCATATGATTCTGGTTCATTTTAATCACTTACAGGGGGCCCTTATTTCCTGACAATTGAAAAAGACCTAAGGGGGCGCTTATAGGGGTAGGGGTGGTTAATAGGGATTATACAGTACTGTGTAAAACTTGACTGAAATTGAATAAAACTCAACTAATACACTGAGGAAAACTTGACTGAAACTGAATAAAACTCAATTAACAAACTAATGAAAATTGACTGAAACTGAATAAAACTCAACTAACAAACTAATGAAACTTGACTGAAACTGAATAAAACTAGACTAATATTGAGTTCAACTCGCTGATACTGAATAAAACTCGACTAATATTGAGTGCAACTTGCTAATACTGAATAAAACTCAGCTAATATTGAGTACAACTTGCTAATACTGAATAAAACTAGACTAATATTGAGTACACTCCCTAACTAGGGCTGTATCAATATATCGATATATCGATACGTATCGATATTCAAGAAAAATATCGTATCGGAAAGTAACTTCCAATACGTATCGGACACACATTTTTTCTTCAAATTCTGTTTAAAAGATGGAAATTTCAATCATCAAGGATTATATTTTACTTTTTTGAATTAAAACCTTCAATAATTATATAAATTCTAAGAAAATAACACAGTTTTTATAATTTAAAATAAATTATAAAATTTTATATAATTATCTAAAGAGAAATTTATTTGAACATGTTGATTTTACTGTCATCAAAAGTTTTAATTTAAGTGTTATTTTTAAAGACAATGAGACAAGAACTTAAAAATGGGTAATAAAACACTTAATTGTTATGAAATGTATGCATTAAAATGATTTAGAAGCCTTTTCTGATGGACTTGTTTCAGAATCCAATATATCGCATATCGCTTTAAAAAATATTGTATCGTATCGTATCGAAATTTTTGGCTCAATACACAGCCCTATCCCTAACACTGAATAAAACTCAACTAAATTTGAGTACAACTCGCTGATACTGAATAAAACTCAACTAAGATTGAGTAAACTCAAATTGATACTGAATAAAGCAGGATCTGAGTATACCCTCAGTAACTCTTCTCGATATTGCTTCTTCTTGAGCTCTGCGATTCTGTGTCTCTCGGCTTCCGTGGGTATATTGAGGCCCACAGGAGGGGTGGGAGGGGCTCGGGGGGTACCATTAACCTCTTTCTAAATCAATACATTGTACAAGTATTAGGAGTGTTATTTCACTGCAAACAAATGAATATCAATCCAAAACGTGAGTTTTTAATAACACACACACTAAAAACATTAATACACGCATTGTAATTATATCTTTATAAAGTACGATGTATATAAAAGCCTAAAAACTATTTTAATATATTACAGCAGCTAACATATAGGACAATTCAACTGAGCACAAGTGCAACTATACAGTTTCATACATGTTCATACAAAATGTTTTACAAAATACCTAATAAATTAATATTTCTAATTATTGTTGCTAGCATTTATTGTCCCAAGTCATTATAATAACTCGTTAATTCTGTTGACCCTACAGAATAAACAACATGCATGTTCATTCATTGCCATATTCTAATTCATGCTTACTGGTCAGTGCAAGTTACAATGCGAGTGGTCAAACTTATTATAATTCTGGGGATGTGACATATTTTGTACCAATTCTCATTTTTCTGAGGACCCCAACCTTGCATGGACTTCAATGAGACATTCTCCGTCCCCAAAACAATTTGTCTTGTGATACCCGTGGTTTAGAAAGTCATGAAATATAGGGTAAAAAATATTCTAAAAATAATTTCTATGTGTATCAAATCAAAAATCTCTTAAATCAAACAATTTATCATTTAATTATCCAAAATTTCTTAATACAGTATGCTTAAAATACCTCTTAACCAGATGTTATACATGTCATTACTGTAAACCAACTTTTATTCATGACGACTTTATTTCGCGATTTACCAGTGGTAAACTACTTTGCGATGATTAATTTTCACGATTAAGCTTTATTTATCTGTTGTTCTTAGACACAGAGAGTTTAAGGACTGGTTTGCGGTGAGAAATATTCGCGATTACGAGGTTCTCGTGAACTTCCCTAAAATTTCTCACACGCGAATAAAAGTTGGTTTACAGTATATTTCAGGTCACCCATAATATTGTTTTCTATTCTATACAATATTATCAAACCCAGAAGCTAGTGTTGTATATATGCAGATTTGAGTTTTGTTTTCAGATTCCTTCTGTTAGAACGCTTTCACTTATGCAGTAAGTTTGACATGCATTTGATGAATTTATACCTCCCTGTGTAACGATGAATGAGTTTTAAAACAAACAAACATGCACATACTGTGAACTTGATTTATTGGGTTTAATTCTAGAGTAAATTGTAGATGGGTTAAAGCTACATTGTTACAAAACAATACACAGTTCACTATATCTATAAAGTGGAGATATATAGGACTACTCTATATATGTACTGGCAGGTCCTATAGTATTTGGTTCTTATTCTTTATTACACTACTCAGTAAAGATTCTATAAGCGCTTATCCTACACAGGGCTATGATCAGGCATGGACACCTAGCTCTCTAATTTTAAGGTGGGAAATTACCTGTTCCAAAAGTCGATTATAATCATTCTTACGCTCTGCACTTAGCTCTTCTTTAAGTTTTTTATAATCTATGATTACGTTCCGCGGAGAGCCCACTAGGGGGCGCTCCGTGTCCAAGTGCCCTTCATGGCTGGGGGACGTGTCCAATTCTAATTCTTTTGCTCTTTGCAACCATTGCTCATTTTGTTGCTATTCAGTTTAAAAATAAAAGCTTATTCACTTTTGATTTTATTCTAGAAAAGAATTAAACTGAAGAGGAAAAAATGCTAGTAATGATTTCAAGTAGGCCAATAAAAGATAAAGCTCATATAAAATTGTGTAAAAAAATGTAGGCAATTGAAATCAGTCAGAAAGATAAGCTATAAAGTCCAGTACTTAAATAACCAATCTCTCACAGAAAAAGAAGGGTATACTGCTGCTTTACCTTAAGCAAAGACTCCCTATATTCACGCTTTCTATCTGCTTTGAGTTGATTGCGATATACATCGTATCCCCCTATAGCCAGGCCACCAGGGGGCGTTACTGGTCGGTGAGCGTTTTCGTGCTCCAGAATCTCCTTCTGTTTCTGTTATATCAGGACAAACCAAGGTTAAACAAAGCTAACGTCATGTTAATTAGCTCCCTATCCACAAGCATGATGTGATGATGCACTAATACTAAAGCCCCGCCCCCCACTCAGGCTCTGCCTCCACCTGGTCACATGACCATCACATGACTTTACCTGTGATGGGGTACCCAAAGGGCGACCATCCCTGGAAGGTCTTTGCCTAGGGTTCTCCTTTAGAAATTATTTATTATTAGTGAACAATGTTGGTCACTCTTACTTTTTATACAGAGTATGATAGGGCATGCATGCTCAGGATCAGCACTATAGCAGATTTGAATACAAGAGGAAAAAAGTGCTACATGAGAGTGAGTGCTTCTATTGTATGTGAACAGACAGAATCAGTTTGGTGTATGTTACTGGTAAATCAATTTATACATTTTGGTTTAAATTTGATTTTTTTAAAACATAAACCCATGCATATATGTACTTAATGTATTAATATTGATTGTTAACAAAATCCTTGTTTGCTTAATGCCTTCAAAAATATGCTTAGTTTTGCTTACAGTTAAATATATAGAAGAATCATTTAATAAACATTTGTGTCCAATTTTTAAAAATGTCTATGTAACTATTGTAGTAACCATTCTAAAAAAAATTCCTTTTTCTTATTTGGGTATGTCCTTTGAATCAGTGATTCTGGGAGATGATATGATATGGATACAATTAAAGGGAGACAAATCTCTGAAAATTACAACTGATTTATTACAATTCCTATGCAGAAAATTAATAAAATGAGAAGTAATATGTGCCTAAAGATCAGTGTAAATCTTTCCTATTTCCTTTATTACTTTTTAATACACATGCAGGAATCTCTAATTTTTTAAGGTAAGTCTTAGTTCACTACAGTCTCTGGTTATTGATATCAGTCCACACATTTACGCGGCCACTCACCAGGTAATCGTTGTACTCTTTTTTGCGTTCCTCCCGCAGCGTCTGTGACATCTGGTTGTGGTCATACATCTCGGCCTGGGGTTGACGAGGCGGCGACACTTGTCGCTGCTGTAACATCTCATCTCGGTGTCGGCTCGCTTGCTCCTCTTTCTAGTGTATGGAAAAAAGGCTTTAATCACTTAAATAAAATGATTTCTTTTGTAAATCCTTATGATTGTTTTTTTTTCCTATTTTTAAGAGAGATTTCAACTGAACAATGACTCTGGTTCATTGAAATTTTAAACTTGATATAGTGTAGAAAAGAGGTGATAGTATCGGTGTTTGTCTGAAAGAAAGAAAGTGCAAAAGTAATCAGGAAAATTTGTTGAAATAAAAATTTGATTAAGACATAAAAATAAATAAATCACTGAATTAATTACCTTCATTCAGGTAGAGATTATTGTTATTTAAAGAAACAAGAAATTTCTAGCATGAAGTATTAACTAGCACAATTAAAGACAAGAATATGTTAATAAAACAAAGAGGTACAATATTTAAATTAGCTAATGATTCAATAATGTTAGAAAATCCAAAATTAAAAACACCTGAATAAAGACCTGAAAAAGACTCTTTAGTATAGAAAGTTTATAACTGAAATAAATAAAATGATAAAAGTACAATGTGCAAATGGTGCGAGTCTACAAGACTACAGGTATTTTGTATAACTAGCGCACCAGTATACCTCCTTCATAAATTTATTGTAGTCTCTGTGTCGCTCGTCGTTCAGAATCTTGCGAGTCTGGCCATAGTTTCCTATGGGAAGTCCCTGCTCGGGGCCCCCTGTGGTATAATACACAGGCTTTTGCTAAAAACAAACAGGATAGTCCAGGCTAAAGTACCACACAACCAGTCACCAACATTACAGAAAGGGGGAATCTTTCCCAATAATCATGATTTTAAGTATACTAAAATCCACTCCCAGGATGACAATTGTCTGTTTTTGAAGATCCCCAGTTAGTTCTCAATCTACACTTATTTTACTGAGAGTTTTAAGCAAAAATTCTTGATCATGGTCATAAACCCAAAGAATTAATCTCTTCCCATCTTGACAGCAGCTTTATACAAAGTCTTGAATAATTTGATTCATTTATAAATACATTGTACCTGTATCTATTTTAAGAGAAAGAACTGTGTTAAGCTAAACTGTTCTTTGTTCCTTCTGATTTCTAACATATATTTAGTTCTACGTAACTATGGATATATACTTCCTAGCAAATGAGAGAAATCTGAAAAAGTTATACAGTGCTCTCCAGTGTACTAAAAAGATTTCAAATGACAAGTCATCCCCCTCGAGTCTTTTCATCCCAAAAAAGTACAGGTTCCCCTCACCATATTCTACCTATTTAGTGAATAATATTCCTGCAGTTTAAAAATAATCAAGCTGTTTCAAATGTTTCCATATATATGCCTACTTAATCAAAAACTATCAAATTTAAAGTGAAATGTACATGTATCTAATAATGAAAGGGAAAAAATATATGAACATATACACTCTACCATTAGATAAAAATAACTTAAAATAATGATTTTGTGAAGTGAAATGTAATCAAATCAAAAAATTATATGTGGCTTACAAATCAAATTTTTAAATTATTCCTCTAGAAAGCTTAAAAATTTGTTAAAATGTGAGAATCTATTTATACATTTGATCACATTCCTAGGTGAGAATGACAAGTCTAACACTAGAATGAGACAAAGATAATTTACTCATGCTCTGACTAAATGTCAACTGTTCATGCACTAGATACAGAAGCATTAGGAAGTCAGTCCCCGCCTATAGGGGGCGCCGGGAGCTACATACTCGCCGCATGTGGTCCTCATACTCCTTACGCATTTCCATCTGTATCAGATGTTTACGCTCTTTGGCTTTTTCATCACTTAAACTGACTATTCCAGAAGTTATCTGTAAATCAGCAGCTCTTATCAAATACACAAAGATTTTAAAAGTTATTTTATATTACATAAAACATTTAAGAGTGCATGAAATTTATAGTAATTAAGGTATTTCATGAACTATATATTCTACTTTGTAATTTAATTTAAAAAAATGTAAAAATTTTCCTTTTTCCCTATACTGGTATTATAAAAATATTTAAAATGCTATTGTAATTGGCAATCTATTTTTCTTTTCAAATGACAATAAAGGGGATATGAACATTGTTGCTACAAAAGTGCCCAAAGTTTAAATCTGGGATTGAGAGAAGTAAACCAAGATATTATGCTTAGAGATGGTCTTTTATAAATTTTTATCTTGCACACAATAGCAATGAATCAAGAACTGATGTTAACAAAGTGTTTACCTTTCTAAATTTAAATGGACATTAAATTAAACTTTATAAAAGTTATTGAATTTGATTCATGTTTTAAGCCAGATGCTATATGGCATTCAATTTTTTGATCATCATAACTTACACTTAGCAGTTGCTTAGCTTGGTTTATTGATATGAAAATGTTCAATTATAAGTTCATAGGATCTTCATGAACGTTTCATGAACATTTCATGAATAAAATTCATGAAAAATTCAAGGAAATTCATTACCGGTATTCATGATCACCTTCAGGGGTATGAATATGCATACGCAAGGTAGGGGAACAAAAATGCATTCTAAGTAATATTATAATCAGTAGTGACACTGTGAAATAAAACCCTAGGTCTACACATTGCACAAATTTTAAAAACACACAGATTTCAAACAATTAATTCATTTTCAGTATATGCACCCCTTCCCTGACCCTGGGGCCTTGAAAATCCACAATTCTGCAAGATTAGGGCCCTTGCTCATCATAACTATATAGGTAGTTCATCTGCTTCATACCCAGAGACAGAGAAGAAAATTTTCAAAGCACTATATAATCAATAGAGCACCCCTCCCCCCCAACACCAGAACCCCTGACCCTGGGACCATAAAATTCACAATTTTGGTAAAAGCATGTTTGCTCATCATAACTATGCAGAGTTAGTTTATTTAATATAGGAGCAGAGAAAAAGATTTTCAAAGAATTCATGAATTTTTACTATATAAGTGTGCCCTAACACCAGAACCCCTGACCCTGGGACCATAAAATTCACAATTTTGGTAAAGGCACTCTTGCTCATTATAACTATGCACTTAGTTAGTTTATTTAATACCTAGGAGCAGAGAAGAAGATTTTCAAAGAATTCATGTATTTTTACTATATAATCTATAGAGCCCCCCCCCCCCCAGTGACCCTGGGACCATAAAATTCATAATTTTTATTATTATAACTATGCACTTAGTTAGTTTATTTAATACCTAGGAGGGAGCAGAGAAGATTTTCAAAGAATTTGTGTATTTTCACTATATTAGCCCCCCCCCCCCTCACACCAGAAACCCTGGGGCCATAAAATTCACAATTTTGGTAAAGGCACTCAACTCATCATACCTATGCACTTAGTTAGTTTATTTAATATCTAGGAGCAGAGAGGAAGATTTTCAAAGATTTCATGTATTTTTACTATATAAATAAGCCCCCCCCAACACCAAACACCCTGGGGCCATAAAATTCACTATTTTGATAGAGACACTCTTGCTCATCATAATTATGCACTTAGTTAGTTTATTTAATACCCAGGAGCAGAGAAGAAGATTTTCAAAGAAATCATGTATTTTCACTGTATATAATCAATTGAAACAAAAAATCACAATTTTTAGAGGCACCACTCATCATAACTATCTACTTAGTTGGCTTATTTAATACCCAGGAGCAGTGAAGAAGATTTTCAAAGAAATAATGCATTTTCTATATATTAACTTTAGAACCCCTGACCCCAGGGCCATGAAATCACAATTTTTACTGATTACAATGCAAACAGTTTGACTGCTTGATGGTCAGGAGTAAAGAAGAAGATTTTTAAAGATTGCATTAATTTTAAACAGATGAAATTCACAATTTTTGTTCCCCTTCACCCATAGATGCTTTGTGCCAAATTTGGTTAAAATTGGTTCAGTGGTTGCAGAGAAGAAGCTGAAAATGTTCAAAAGCTACGACGTACGACGAACGACGACAGACGAAAACGGATAGCAATAGGTCACCTGAGTTTACTCAGGTGACCTAAAAAGTTATTGTTTGTAAATTCTTTGTACTGTTTTAAGCCGGTTTTCTCTGATAAGAGTCTCTGTGATCATTTTCCACCTTCATAATGTTAGTTTTCAATTATATCTAAACGTTAAAATTCAATCAACACACAGTTTGCACAGAAAATCAATAGTTCTTATAGTATGTCAAGAAAGCAAATATATTTAACGGCTGTAGTTTTTTAAAGCTGTGAATAGAGAGATATGCATAATACAGTGTGCAGTGAAGTTCTGGTATCTTAATATTTCTTCCTTGAAGCAGTGAATTTATTATTATTCCATTAATGATCAAGTTGACATTTATGAAAATAACCGTAGTCAACTTTTCCTCTGTAGAAAACTGGGATAATAAAAACAGTTTGTGCCTCTCCGGTTGGCATTTAAAACATCATCATTAACAAAATATTCCACTGTATACCTAGCTGTGATCATTTTCATTATTAACTTTAAAATATTTACATAAATCTGTAAATTTCAAATTCCATTAACTTCAAACAGAGTCCTCTAATGGTGGGATTTACAAATCTTTAAACATGCTGCTGCGATAAAAGTTCCAGAAATTAATTATAGTATGTCTGAAAATGTTGGACACGGTAAATCTTTTTTAAAAAAAACTGAGTTCATTCTTCAAAATAAATAAAATAATATATTTTTACTCTTTAAAATATCAATCATTCAACTTAAATATTTTGTTACAATTTATCATAAAGTGGATATATGTAGTCTCTTCTATTATATGATCATTATCATGAAATGTATTTAAATTGTTATCCAGGGAAATAAATCTTGACAACTGTTAATAGTTCATAAAACAAATACATGTACACCAAACATTTAGTCAGAAACAGTCAAATCTTACCACTGGTGGATCCGGGGCCCGCTGGTACTGTGAGGGTTGATCATACCTCTCCTGGGCGCGGGGAGGGTCATAGGACGATCTGTTATAGTCCCCAGGCTGCTGGTAGGAATCGTAGGTTGGACGATTATAGTCGTATGATGGATGTCCATAATCATTCTGTGGTCTGGAGTCATACATGGGCCGACCATAATCAGCTGAGGGGTAGTCTGCATTTCTGTCGACCATCGCGGCACTCATTTTGTCACCTGTCGATGAATTCTATATACATGTATTGTCATCAACATTTTCACATTTTACACCCTTCCTTTTTTTCCACAGCTTAGAGAATTTTATAAGATAAACCAATTAAAACCATATATTTTTTTACACCCATTTTCAGAACATTGCAAAATTTAAGATTTATAATAATTTTAAACAAATCTACTTTAGTTAAATTAATATTAATCAAACACAAGCATAATTAAGACAGATGAATAAAGTGTTTAATCAACCTTTTAGATTGAAAGTGCTGATAATACAAAATTTAATGAAAATATTTTAAATTTGAATTTCTAGCCAGCTGAAGCATAAAAAATGTAATATAACATTTTAAAATTATTTTTAAAAGATATGCTCATGCAAAACTTGGTATAGTTTTTGTACACCTATTTTTCACTTGTTAAACTTTAGATACTTAAGGTTTACATGATCTGATCACATCAATAAACAACAATAGCCGCACAATAAAGCCTTGGAGTATCAACGATCATAAATGTTTAAATACCACTTAATGCTTTGTTTACCCCTTGCCAAATCTGTTTTGATCCCAATTTTGTGACACAAATCATTATGACCAGGTTATGGGAAGATGACAAAGGATTTTAAATCAGTTCTATAATACATGTATATATGCTTATTTTTTTCAAGGCATCAATTTACGCAGCAATGAATGATCCCAAGTATAGGTGGCAATAATTTTACCCAAATCACCATATTTAAATTACTAGTATATATTTTATAATTAAAGTCATTATGCACAACAAACTCCTGTCAGTCCTGACAATTTCATGATGTCCTGCTCATGAATTAAGATTTTAAAGGTTGGTGAAAATATAATCAGGAATCTCAGAATAGTCGGATTAGTGAAAATATTCAAATAAAATTCAGTTAATTCTTAATTCCAACTTCCAATAAATTTCTAAAAATTATTCTTGATGTGTTGTTTTATACTGATAAAGTAATAAACAAAATCATATGCTTTGTCAAACATAATATTTAAACCTTTTGACAAGAACAAGTTATTTATTTTGCTATTTATCAGTTTTTATACTTCTGAATTCAAATCGCATCACCTGAAAAATGAATGTGATTTTCTGAATATGTTCGAATTTTAACACATTTTTCTTTTATCTATTGGGAGGCTAATTAAAAGATTAATACTAACCCTTGAGGCACGTGTGCGCTGCTCTCTACGTATAAATGGAAGATTCAGATTGTTGACAAGGTGCGACACACAATAGCGTGGTTAGCAACAAGTCTCTCTCACATGAATAACGATCTAGTGGAAGGATATTAATCAAGAAATGTATAAATTCAGTTCTTAGATAATCAAAACTATATGCTCTTCATTTAAGCTTGCAAACTGTCAGATGTATTTCAGTTGTAAATCAAATAAAATGTAACGCAGAATAAATCGGAAGTAAACAGAATCTTGCAATGAATGAAAATAGTAACAAAATGATATGCGTATAGCCTATAAAAATCCGGCAAAATGTTTGCTTTGCCATGGGAGATGGAAGACGACCAAGGAATGTTTTCATATTTGTGTTAATTTAAATTCCACTTCCTTATCACTGATATGCTAAACCGTTTGTTTTCTGCATAGGCGCTATGGATTTCTACTGCTGCTCTTGAGGATAAAATTTATTCATAGACTTATTATAAAGCAAACCTTTGTTTGAGGTCTATATACCCCGGTATTTGAGAGAGAGAGAGAGAGAAAGAGAGAGAGAGGGCTAAAGTTGTGTTTAAAAAAAGATTGTTGTTTACCAAAAATTGATCAAAATTAATGATCGATTCATTCTAATGCTTGCAAAATATACTGGATAATTAAAATTCTTTAACTATTAAAATTGTTGCTTAAAGACACAGTAGAACTGAATTACTAAGACCATATAAACCCATGTCCCGTGTACCAGGTACCATGCAGCACGAAAAACATTTCTCATCGCCTTCTACCGCCAAGTGGTGTCGATTCAATGTCGGTAAAAAAAAATCTCGAAGAGACGTAAAACAAACAAACAAAACATTTAATCGCCCGCCAATTTGTTTCAATGTATTAATTTTTCATTTATAACATCAAATAAAGGGGGGAGGTAAAACAAAATATGATTATTTTTGAAGTGATTATCTAGAATGTCGTAATTCAGAAACTCAAAATAAAGCTTTTCCTATTTCTTTTATTTGAATACGTTAAATCATAAACTAACTAAAATACCCATAAAAGACATATCTTTGTAGGTTATTTTTCATAGAGAGAGAGAGAGAGAGAGAGAGCCAAAAGAGAGAGAGAGAAGTGTGATATAATTTTTTTTTTTTTTTTTTTTTTTTTTTTTTTTTATTTCCAGAATACAACTTTCAAATAGCATTATATTTACAAAATCATTGTGGATTTTTATTAAACATTCACTCACTGATTCTTCCACCTCACTCATCCATTTCAGTATCACCTATTTATGAATTGTACAAAAAGATGATTCAATATACATATGCATATATATGCATGTTTATATATTACACTGTGTTTACTATGGTTCATTCTACCTATTCCCACTTTTTGAAAATCACGTAGAAAAAGGTAAGATTTTATGTGGGAATAGGTGGAATTTTGTGTAAACAAATAATTAACTATGTTCTTAAATTTAGATATTTAGTTGCTTTTTCTTGTAAGATCTTTTTATTATTTCAAACATCCGAAATAAATCATATTTTCTCATAGATGTATTCATTATTTTCTGTCTTAAAATGTACAAAATACAGGTAAATCTAAACATCTGTTGTTATTTGCAAGTGGGAATAGGTGGAATTGAGATTTTTAAAAAGTGGGAGTAGCTAGAAGACACCGTTTACTATCACTATAAGTATATTTATAAATACAAACAAACAAAAGTAAAAGTTACAGTGTCCATTTATGAATATCATATAAAGCTAATCATTTATCAAATAGATTGTCTAACAAATCTCTTTTTAAACTGGGTGTCTTCCATATTTAATGCAAACAAGTATTTTTCAAAATTATAGTATTTATATATTACATTTTTTACTTCGTTAAATATCAAAGGTTTACAGTTTTTAGATTTTTGGTATATATACTGTTTTACAAGCAATATAATGACATTTAAAGATGTGTTTTCTTTGCCAGAAATACCTAATATAACAGAAATTGGGTCTAAGTTAATATTTTTTCCAGTTTTCTGTAAAATCCATTCTTCTAAACAATCCCATATTCCCTTAACAGGAAGACAGTAATAAAAAAGATGCTTCAAAGTTTCCTGCTCAAGATTACAGACAGAGCACAATGGATTATCTTTAATTTTAGATAAAAACAACAATTTACAGGTTCCAAGAATTCTATGTATGATCTTATAATTAAACCATTTGAGATTTGAATCTTTACTTATGTATTTCAAGTTTGTAAAAAGATCTCTCCAATTAAAGTCATTCTGCAAACCTAAATCTCTTGTCCATTTTGTAATACATACAGGTTGGTTATAACGCTTAGATAGAAAGAAATTGTATAATTTATAGTGATATAATTTTTGACTTAGCTATGCATTAACCGCATCAAATTTCTATTAAAGCTTATGAAACTCAAAAATATATATTTGCCAAGAGAATATTTGAAATCTTTATTGGAAAATATGTTGAATCTGTCGACGTCTTTCAGAAAAAAATCTCATAATATCTTTATTTTTAATGATTCTCAAAATCTAAACTGTTTATATGCCATTTTTCGTTAACACTATTAAGTAATATATTCAAGGTTAACAAAAAATAATCTATTATGGTTGACCAAATAATGTTAACAAAACAGTGTTCTGAATACGTATACCTGCATTTTTAGAATATCAAATTTTTACAATCATTCTTTGCAAAAATTAAAAAAAAAAAATTCAAAAAAGGTGATATAGACTTAAAATCAATTGAAATAGATCTCAAGTTAGTTTGTTTAAAAAAAAAGAGCTTAGGTCCATGAAGGCAAATAAGGATTTTGTGTCTGTGCATGTTCTAAATGACATATAGATCCTATAAACAGAGAGTACCCGGTAAAGTGTTAATTTCCATAAATAACATATATTAATTAAATGATTTGTAGGCACAGTGACACTATATTAAACAAATATATACTTGCTAAATTATTTTCAATAATTCAAAAAGATTTTATTTCAATAGAAAAGTCATAATCAGAATCTTATTTTGGTGTGTAAAATTAAAACCGGATCCGTAAAAGTATGAACCTTTCCTTCATCAGACGGAATGTGCCTGTACTCTTAAATCCTTTAACCGTCACACTTTCTTCCAGGAAAAAAAGTCCTAAATATATCTTGGATTCAACCAAAAAGTGAAAGACAATAAATTTTTAAAAGAATATATCCATTTGATTAATTCATAGGGTTTTGAAATAAAATGCAAAATTCTGAAGACTAATCAATCCCATTCTCGACATCTTCTGAGCATACTGAGGAAATGTCATTTTTAAATTCATAGAAGTTCGCGTCTGTGTTCATGTTTCTTATCTGTCAGTCAATATCAAACATTCCTGAGTAATACTACTTTATTCAAATAATTACGCATTATGCGAGAATTTCGCGTCTATTCAATGAAGTTTTGCGTTATAACGCGAAATTTTTTGTTACCTACAAAAATGAGCTCAATGGACTTTCGCATCAATCAGGGGCCAGTTTTACAAAAAAGAACTTACGACTAAGACCCAAAACTTTAATTGGTTGATTGTAATATTTGCACAATAAATGATTGAGTTTAAAATTGCTATCATAGAAATATCTTTCTACAATCCTATTTTAAAGTTTAAAACCATTTTCAATTTAATAAAAATAAGAGAGTTATAAGCAGAAAATTTTGGTCCTAGTCGTATGTTCTTTTGTAAAACGGGCCCCAGGAGATGGCAAACAAACTTAATTTTCAAAGATAGCCCCAACCTTTCCTATTTTATAATATTATTTCGAAATGTTAATTGTCCTTTATTTAAACGAATATTACCCACACGCATTAACCATTACCGCACATAATGGCGCATGCGTAATCGTGCGCGCCATATTTAAGCCTAACTTCAACGAACGCAATGTAATATTTTTGTGGTGCTATCTGACAACAATGTATATTAAATCTATGGTTATTGATGGCTTTAAGTCATATGCACAGAGAACAGAAATAATCGGATTCGATCCACTTTTCAATGCTATCACAGGATTGAATGGAAGTGGAAAATCCAACATTTTGGATTCCATTTGTTTTCTTCTGGGAATCACCAACTTGTCACATGTAAGTTAGGATGTATTGTTTTCGATAAGTTGTCTTCTATCGAACATCTTTATCAAATATAGGTCATCAACTGTTAAAGGTACTTGGACACAGATTTGAAGTTAATAATTTCTCATTTATTCTGTATAATATCACGAATTATATATTTTAATAGCATTTCACACAAAAATCAATTAAAAATCTTATTTCATTTAAAAGTTATTAAAACTTTAAATTTTTTGGCGGGTTTGATTGACACATCCTTGCACTTTCACAAATTTTAACTTTATTCTTAATCCTTAGGAAAAGTGGCAATCCTGATGTGTATTAATGAGAAATATTAAAACTTTTTATATCAAGAAAAATAATTTTATTCAGAGTAGAAATGTTAGAAAGCAAAACACCTTCACAAGTATCGTCATTCCGAACTAAGAGATGCATACAGAGTTTAGCAAATCGAGCACACTCGTGTTATGTACACAGTTTTTGTAAACAGGGCTCGAGTTCTGTTATTGTTTATATTTAGAAGTCACCGGGTGCGTTCAATCGTCACAGTCTGCTTACCACAACTGCACGGACTGACAATATATTGTGTGTTTGTTTTGCTTTCGAACGTGTCTACTCTGAATTTTCTGGATTTATAGTATTAATATTTTTCATTTATACAAAACGAGATTGCCACTTTTCCTAAGGATTAAGAATAAGATTAAATTTGTGAGAGTGCAAGGATATGTCAATCAAACCCGCCGAAAATTTTGAAATTTCACTATCTTTTAAACAAAATAAGATTTTTAATTAATTTTTGTGTGAAATGCTATTAAAATATATAAGTCGTAATATTATAGAGAAAATAATAACTTCAAATCTGTGTCCAAGTACTTTTAATCTTGGATTTGGGTGTTGATTTTTATAGCAATAGAATAAAAAAACTTAATAATCTTAACAGGTACCCATTAAATGTCTAAATTAGTATAATGAATTGATTTTCAATTCTACAGGTTAGGGCAACAAACCTCCAGGAGCTTGTATACAAAAATGGACAGGCTGGTGTTACAAAGGCAACTGTCAGCATCACATTCGACAACGCAGACAAGAAGCAAAGTCCTCTAGGTTACGAACAGTACGATGAAATCACCATTACACGACAGGTCTTTAAAATCATCATCATTGACACCTTTCATTGTATATATTGTATAATTGTACTCTGAAAAATATAAATAATTGATAGTAAAAGTTACAAAAAATCTGAAATATCATGACTCAGGATAGCTTCTCTTACTGTTATAATGGTTTAAAATGAATATCTTTATGAAGCCATGCATGATATAAAAAAAGTCGATAAGTGATACTATGATATTAAGCACACTATTTGTAATTATTACTTGAAGAAAGTATTTCTGTAATGTCATTATTTCATCATTTTTGATAAAGGTTGTAATAGGAGGAAGAAATAAATACTTGATTAATGGCAGTAATGCCAACAACACCAGAGTGCAGGATCTGTTTAGGTCTGTCCAGCTCAATGTCAACAACCCACACTTTCTCATTATGCAAGGAAGAATCACCAAAGTCCTCAACATGAAGCCTCCAGAGGTACTACAGTGAGATTTCACTTTGTGTAATTTCTTACACAAAGCCATGATAGTTTCTTAGCTGTATTCTTTTCAAAGTAGAATAAGCCACTGATTTCCAGCTTTGAAATTGATATAAAAGAAGACAGTGTTATTAAGGTTCTCAAGCAGCTCTTAAGACATTAATTTATTGTAAAGACCAATCTGTTAAAATAATGCATTTCTGAAGAATACAAGTGGCATGGGTATACATTAAAACATACTTGTGCAAAGAAAAATGTTTGATAGTAGATTGCTCAAAGCTGAATCGGCACTGAGTATTTCAGCCATATCTATGAAAAAAAGAGATATTAACTCAGGCTTTTTAGTGTGTCACAACCAGAATTAAAATTACTGCAACATTATTGTAAATCACATTGCAGATTATAAGTTTGATAAATCATGTTGGGTTGATTTTAAACAACACAATTTTTTTATTATCCTTTATAGTATAATGTTAATATCTACATGTATCTACATTATTATTTTGAAAGATCAATTTTAACTTGAATATTTTTATTTTAAGATATTATCAATGATTGAGGAAGCAGCTGGCACACGACTTTATGAAAGCAAGAAAGAAGCAGCGCAAAAAACCATTGAAAAGAAAGATGCAAAACTTCGAGAAATAGATATGGTACAGTACACCATTTTCTTATTACACTTACTCAGAAATGTACATGGAGTTGCTTAGATTCATAAAACTTTAGATAAGTCAGTTTAAAAAATATGTTTCTAGCTATAGGAAATTGCACTCATTAATAGGTTTTGAAAGAAGACATAATGCCAACACTATCAAAGTTACGAGAGGAGAGATCATCGTATCTTGAATATCAGAAAATCATACGAGAATTGGAGCACCTTAACAAGCTGTATATTGCTTACCAGTTTGTCTGTGCAGAGGTAAGACTGACAAAGAAATATACTGTACATGTGCAATAAATAAGGGAAAAAGTTTGTTTACAGTAGACGTTTGTCTCTGTAGAGGTAAAACTGACAAAAGAAATAAACTCTACGTGTGTATTGAATAGAGAGAAAAAGTTTGTTTTTGAGTAGGATTTTAGCTTTACTGGAAATAGACACACATGCATGGTTTCTGTATTAAAAGAATTTGAAATGTGTTCTTTATATTATGAACAGTATAGATTAACTTTGATATTTATGTTACCATAAGGTTTCTGTATCTTGTTAAATATACAAGTGTATTCATTAGTTATTATTTTATTACAAATCAAAATCTGTTTAGCTTGATTACTCATTATTACACTGTAGGAAAAGAAAAAGAAGAGTGCTGAAGAACTGCTAGAAATGCAGGAACAAATAAAGAAACTGAATGCTCGAATGAAAGAGGTTGGTTTTTTTTGTGTCATTGTGACAGTCTGATGTCAAGCTCAAATTAGGAATATTTCCAATTTCTATTTATCAAGCATACTCTATGTAACATGTATGACTATCTGTGTATGTTGAGGTATTGGAGAGAAAATTGTATTCATTACAGATTGATGAGAAAGTGAAGGAGCTGGATGGAGTGATCAGAGAACTAGAGAATAAGAGAGACCAGGAGTCAGGGAGTGTCATGGCAAAATTAGAGGCCACGCTGGCCGACAAACAGAAAGTAGAAGCCCTGGCTCAGAGTGCTGTGGATGTCAAAAAGGAGGGACTGAAGGCAGAGAACAAAAAGAAAAAGGAACTCAATAAAAACATCCAGGATGTAGGTTTCTACCTTATGTTATAATTTATGTACATAAGTGAAAAACATAACGTGAGATATCACACGACTTATAAAAATATGTGAATCATTTAAGATTATATTTTCATGAAAATAAGTCTTAATATTGTTTATGATTTATTTTCCTTATTTTAAAAGATATTCTTTAGAAATTTGTGAATTATGTTTCAAAATACAGGATGTTTCCAGACAAACTAAGAACGCTGTTTTCTGTTGCAGGATAAGAAAGCCCTGGCCAGCAAGGAGAAGGACATGGGTAAAGTGGGGGAGGAATTGGAGCGACTTCAGTCCCAGAGTAAGGTAGACCAGGAGACCCACGACACGGCCCAGAAACATTACCAGGCGGTCAGTGCTGGGCTGTCTAGTAACACGGACGGGGAGGCCGCCTCTCTCAACGACCAGCTCATGAGTAAGTGAGATCTCGTGTAAAGGTGTCGAGTCATATTGCTCTTTTGTATCACCTTTAACATTTAGATTGATGGCTCAGATAACAATGCAAATAAGTTCTTGATATTTTGAATTTGATTTTCTTCAGCTGCTAAAAATGAAATCAGTGTGGCAGAAACAGAAACTAAACAAGCTCAGATGAGGTAACAAAAAACCATCTCACAGAATCTAGTTTACATAGAAAAAGTAAAGAGAAGATTATGGTATTTTTTTCTTCTAAACAGACTGAAACATGCCCAGCAGGAAATAAAAAAGAAACAATCCGATCTCAAGAAAACAGAGCAAGGTTACCAGAAGGACAAGAGTGCTTATGATGACATTCAGAAAAATATGAAGGCTTTAGAGGTATATTCACTATATTCAAACACATACAGTATATGTTGCACACTGGCACTTGGTATCCATATTGTACTGAGTAATTTTTTAAAATTAATGATAAATAAAGTTTTGTGAAAAGTGCAATATGGTATCGTTTCACCTAGGTGTCTGGACACTGATACATGTTTCTCGAGTAATATAAATATGACAAGATCATACAATTTTGGCATAATAATTCTGCTGTAGGCTGAGATGAGTAAGCTGGGTTTTAAGGAAGGCCGGGATGAGGAGCTAGCTGCCGAACGTAGAACTCTGTCTCAGGAGGTACATAAACTTCAGGAACAGCTAGAAACGCTAGAGGCCAGGTAATTATCACATTCCTCAGAGACTTACAAGGTTTAGAAACATCAAATCAGATCATGGTGTGTAAATGAAAAGCGTAAATTCAGTACAAGCTTGCTCCCTGAAACTGTTTTTACCTGAAAGTACATTTTCTTCTTTTTTATTTTTCAAGATTTCCACAGCTACAGTTTGATTACAAAGACCCAGAGAAAAATTTTGACCGCAGCAAAGTTCATGGCCTGGTATGCAAATTGATCAAGGTCAAGGATGTTAAGAAGGCAACAGCCTTAGAAGTATCAGCTGGAGGGAAGGTAAGGATCATCCTGGCAACATATACAGTGTACCTGTATCTAAGGTCCTATAGAATGTCAGACTCCCTCCTGTTGAAGCAGGAACATACATGTAATTCAGCTCTTGAATTTACTTAGTGAATAAAAGTGCTTCTACTTGATGTACATTGTATATGCACTTTTTTAGTCCCCTAAGCTTTA